TGAGGCAAGTGCGAGATCGCTGCTGTGTTGCCTCAGGTGTTGTCCACGTCGAATACCCGAACCGTTGGAGTTCGCCTCCTGGAGGGAAGCCTGCTTCCAGCAAGGCATCCGGGAAAGGCCTCACACTCTACCGTCAGTCTGCCGTTCTTTCCCTTTAACAGCTCAACGCTGTATGCTCCACTCGGCGCATCTCTCAGCTCTGCTGAGGGAGCTGGTGGAAAGGGGAAAGAGCGCCAGTGATTTTTCATTGGCGACTTTTGGCAGCATTTGACGGAGGTCAACTCTCATCTGGCCAGGGACTGCATTGTAGCTGTGCCAGCCAAATGATAAGTGCGGTTATGGGCCTATGGCGCCTAGGACTGTTTCGAGGAATACGGAAGTCTGTCGAGCTTCTCGTTAATCCCTCAGGTGCCCAGGCACCAGCAAACGTTATGTTGCCGACTGCTGGGGTTTACTGTATTCTGCCACAAACCCCGGTAGAAGTGTGACACGCCAGGCGAAAATACCCCGTGCCGAGATCCAGTCTCTGCTGGGCAAGGCAACCATCGAGGTGGTTTCCAATGGTCAGGAAAATGTGGGGTTTGACTCCATTTATTTCCTTGTTGCCATTAAGAACGGAATGTTCAGACCCATTCTCATCTGAGAGCTGAACAAGTTAATAGAGGTACTGTCCTTCAAGATGGAGACACCGTGCTCAGTGATTTCATCTGTCGAGACAGGGGATTGGCGCACGTCAATCGACCTTGAGGTCGCGTACCTCCTTCATCCATTGCACCCTGATTTCAAGATTTACCTTTGGTTCTTCTTCGACAGGACGTGCTACCAGTTTCATGTGCTCCCCTTAGGCTACATTACGGCGCCAAGGGTATTCACCAAATTGATGTTTATTACAGCCCAGATAGCCAGATCGAGTGCCGGTGTTGTCACCCTACCTAGGCGACTGGCTCATCGGGGTTTTAGAATAACAGTTGAGTCTGGGAACCTCACGATCAGTGTTGGTCACTCTTATGAAACTGGGCCGAATTGTCAACCTCACGCAGTCAAATGGACAGACGTCGGGCGTCTCTCCAAGGGGCTCCCCCTGGAGACACCGTCGCTCTCAGTCCAGCCAGATACATCCCTCCCGGGTTGGGGCGATGTTCTGGCCGACCTGCAGTCTCTTGACGACGAAGTCACAACCTGCATATTAATGTGCTGGAATTGACAACAGTCAGGTTGGTGTTCGATCCAGCACGCCGGGATTCGAATTACCTTTTCAGCCAGGTATTCTCACTCTGAACGGGGCACCACACCCGAATCCTCAGGTTCACTGGGTGGCTTGGTCTCCAGACACGTGGAATTCCTGCAGCCGTTGCAGACACAATTCTGTCTTCGAGGCGGGATTCGACACCCATTCAGTGTGTTGATAGCTGGGGCACGCTGGTGTGCAGATAGGGGATTTCATAATCCCTATTCTGCGGATTTAGTTCGTATATTGGAGTTGCTCTTACCTCGTTTTGGTAGAGAGCCTTATGACCTCCAAAATTCCCGGGTACTCCATGACTATTTCCACGTTTCACACCTCGTTCGATGGTGCTCTGCCTAGGCAGCACCCTCTCGTACAGCACTTCGTAACTGGCATGAACAGGGTTCGACCGCCTCGGCGGCAACCCAGCCCACCTAAAAATTGCCAATTATTCTCAATTGGCTGTCTGGCCCTGACTTTTCAAGTATATCGTCTCACTCACTTCACTTGTTGACGTGGAAGACGGCTTTACTTGTGGTGAGCACTGGTAGAAGGGTCGGGTACATCCATGCGATACCCACTGACCCGACACTGACAGTATTTATACTGATCATGTCCATATTCGCCTCCCGGATACCTACCACTCTCAGTTCGATATTGCTTTCCACGTGACTGTTCATATCGAACTTCCACCCCTTACACAGCCTTCCACACCGGGGACCGATCTTTCGATTGCTCACCCGTTGGAGTGACTATAACGAATGAACGAAAGGGATCCGTACGGGTACCCATTTGTTCTGTTTGGTGGAGGGAAGACTGGGGAGTCTGCTAGCAAGCTAGCAAGCAGACTTTATCTTGTAGGCATGTTTCCATAATTGTTCGGTTACAATGCTAAGGTTTACCTTCCCCCAAGGGGTTGAAGGCAGACTGGGTAGGGCAGATGCTGCTTTGTTGGCAGTACACAGCGGCACTGCTCAATGAAGAGATCGGTTCTGTCGCTCTTTGGAGCCGGCAGAACGCCTTCATTCGCCATTACCGACTTGACACGCATTCTAAGGATCGTGCTCGGTTCGGTCTTTTGGTACTCTCCAGTGGAGAGTGTCCTGCCACCCTGACCAAGTTAGTAACTGGTCATTGGTATCGGTTCTGTGTTCAATGTCGATATGGTTTATATCACTACATCGTATAAGCCTTACCACCCTTTCGGGTTGGGTCGGGTTTGGGTTGTACATATCGTCCCTTACGTCCTCTTCACTTAAAGGCAAGAGAGGTCGGGGCCGATTTTGAACGCTATAACCAGTCATATGCTTTTAACCTGGGGTTTTATGTCATAATTGATTTGAGCCAATTGACGTATAAGCTTGGACTCTCTATTTCCCGCCCTAGCTACGTCCCCGCCTGATTGACATCAGCGGTCAGGTGGCTCGGTAAGTGTGTTTTTTCTATTTCCGTATCGGTTGTAGATTTCACTCCACCACGGGTTTAGTTGTTGCCAGACAGAATGCCACTCCCGTCTCAAATATCTTTGGGAGTCTGTCTTATGCTATTGGTATATGTACCCCAAGGAGGACTTCTTCTGAAAAAGAATTATACAAACCTGTAGAGGTTATGAAGTCTTTGAAGAAAGTCCTCCTTGGGGTACGGCCACCCGCCTCCCCTCATTCTGTCTGATATGTTCAGCATGAAAAGTGAGGTACGAGGTAGACGGCGAGAGTTACCTGCTCTTGGCTATAGGGGTCCGGTGGGGCCCTGTAGGGTGGTCTCACAAGACAAAACAAGTTTTTTATTGAAAAATATAGTTACAACTGTCGTGGGATTTAAAATGGACATTTTAATGCTTATATGTACCCCAAGGAGGACTTTCTTCAGGTTTGTATAAATTGTTTCGAAATGTTAAGGAAACATGGCCTCTGACACTGCAAAAGCAAAAGGGCAGGCTACTTAAAGTCTCTTTAAGCATTAAACTGTGCTAAAAGTTATGTTCCATTTGGAACTTCCCATTTACATTCATTTTTGGAGTACCATTTAGAAACATCACAGTTGGTAGTCTGTTTGCATGATAAGAAAATTAACCTGACATAATCGGTTGAAGAATGGTAAGATAAGAGAGACTGGATCATGAAAATATATGTTACATCTCCTTATATTATATTTTTTAGAATAAAGGGACTCTATTAAGGTGATATGTTAGTAACTCTTGGACCCTTTCATAGTTTCGAACACTCAGCTGCATGGTACTATTTGGATCATAACTTGGTTTGACATCATATTACATTTTTATGATACAGATGGATCATTTGTATAATACAATAGCATTGTTTTGTACAATTATAAACAGAAAGTGAGACAGTCGGATCCAGAAGTGAATAGTGCAGTAGGATCCTGATGATGTATGGTACAGATGGATCCTGAACATATATGGTACAATGGGTTCCTGCACCTGTATAATACAGTGGGATCCTGCATCTGAATAGTACAGTAGGATCCTGCATCTGAATGGTACAGTGGGATCCTCAACATATATGGTACAGTGGATTCCTGCAGCTGTATGATACAATGGGTTCCTGCAGCTGTATGATACAATGGGTTCCTGCAGCTGTATAATACAGTAGGATCCTGCATCTGAATGGTACAGTAGAATCTTCAACATATATGGTACAGTGGATTCCTGCAGCTGTATGATACAGTGGGATCCTGCATCTGAATAGTACAGTAGGATCTTCAACATATATGGTACAGTGGATTCCTGCAGCTGTATGATACAGTGGGATCCTGCAGCTGTATAATACAGTGGGATCTTGCAGATGAATAGTACAGTAGGTTCCTGCAGTTCTATGGTACAGTGGGATCTTGCAGCTGAATGGTACAGTAGGATTGTGCAGCTGTATGGTACAGTTGGATCATGAAGCTGAATGGTACAGTGGGATCCTGCATCTGAATGGTACAGTGAGATCCTGCAGCTGAATGGTACAGAAGGATCCTGCAGCTGAATGGTACAGAAGGATCCTGCATCTGAATGGTACAGAAGGTTCCTGCAGCTGTATGGTACAGTTGGGTCATGAAGCTGAATGGTACAGTGGGATCCTGCAGCTGAATGGTACAGTGGGATCCTGCAGCTGAATGGTACAGAAGGATTCTGCATCTGAATGGTACAGTAGTATCCTGAAGCTGAATGGTACAGTGGGATCCTCAAGCTGCATGGCACATTGGGATCCTGAAGCTGTATGGTACAGTTGGATCCTGCTGTGGTATAGTACTCTGGGATCCTGAAGGTTTATGGATTTGTGGGATCCTGCAGTCGTATGGTACATGGAGATAATGCATCTGTATGGCACAGTAGGGTGATGCAGCTGTATAATACAGTAGGATCCTTCAGCTGTATGGTACTAAATGATCCAGGAGGTGTATAAATTTGTAGAATTCTGCATCTGTATGGATTTGTGGGATCCTGCATCTGTTTGGATTTGTGGGATCCTGAAGATGTATGGTACTCTGGGATCCTGCAGCTGAATGGGTTCGTGGGACCTAGAAGTGAATGTTACTTTGAGATCCTGCACTTCTATGGTGCATTGGGATCCTGAAGATATTTGGTTCTGTGGGATCGGTCATTAGAATCTTACTGTTTCATCTTCATTTGTATGCTACAGTAGGATTCTTCACTTGTGTGCTACATTAGGGTCCTTCTGTTTTATTGTATGGTCAGATGATACAGTTGTATGGCACAGTTGTACCGACTTGTATTGAACTTGGTGTGAGAATGATGTGTGTGTTGCAGACACTCTGACAGTGCCCAAGTCTCCCAAGACCCCTCTCAACCTGGGGCCCAAGATGAAGCACCAGATCAACCATAGGTAAGTGGAACACACCTGTTGATAAACAGAACATTAAACAAGGCAGTCAACACACACAAGAACTTATGTGACCCCAAACTGTCCGGGGCAGGCAAATTCAGAAAAAAATGGTTGAAGTTCTGCAATCTTAATTTGAAGCATATTTTGTTATCTCTTTCAAAAATAAGTGGTGTTCAGTGTTTTTGTACTGTTTATGTAACTGATATTCACTCTTTACAAAAGTGTTTTGTAATGTTTCCATGGTGTTGACTGCCTTTCCTCAAAAACAAATCTGATATGAAATATATTTGTAATTAAAAAATTGTAACTCTTTTAAATATTTATGCTGATATTATTTCATGTAATACTTTATCAAGATATTCATAGTTATCTGATCTCTGAAAGTAAAGATGAATCCTAAATTTTACTTTTTGTCTTATTAATGGTTTATAATATTGTCTGTTACCACATTAAATGATGATTGTTTATGTTTTCTTGATTAATGCCTTGTATTTCAGAGAATTTGTGAGCTCATTTTGATTTCATCTAGCAAAATACCAAAATTAAGTCTTGACTCGAGTCTTGTAGTCAAAGAATGCCTGTCACGAAATAATGATTCCATGTTCATTATTTAATTAGCATTAATCAAAATGAGCTCACTATTTTTAAGTGCCTATGTCCTTCTTCAGCTGTATTATAATTTTTAAAATCCTTGACAAAACAATCAAAAGAGTCTAAACTGAAGGGCAATGCTGTCAGTTATAGCTAAATACCTGATACCATGCATCAAGTATGTTCAGCCTGAGGCTGATATGACCTGTCTGATTGGTCTTGAATTTTTAAAAGAAGTTTCATGATGCCAGGTGTTCTTGGAATGGTTCTGAATTTGGATATAGGCTCCTTACTTTACCTGCATTTCTTTTATGGTTTATCAATGGACAAATCTGATTATTACAAACTGTCAAAGAAACCTGTTTCTCAGACAGTCTTAGTAATGACACTGTAAGCAGAGCTGTGAAGTGTATCTGCAAAGATTGCTAAATTTGGTGGACATGTTGATCATGTTCTTGAAGTCCCTCAATGGTTAGGATGCAGGATGCTACACTGAAGCATCCCCCAGTAGTGAGTTAAACATTAGCATCGCATTGGCAATATTTCAGCCATATAGCAACAAGGCAGCCCCTGCTAGCATCCACACACTCACACAACATGCTGCTACACTGAAGCCTCCCTCAGTAGCCCCTGCTAGCGTCTACACACTCTCACAATATACTGCTACACTGAAGCCTCCCCCAGTAGCCCCTGCTAGCGTCTACACACTCTCACAATATACTGCTACACTGAAGCCTCCCCCAGTAGCCCCTGCTAGCGTCTACACACTCTCACAATAGACTGCTACACTGAAGCCTGCCCTAGAACCCCCTGCTAGCATCCACACACTCACACAACATGCTGCTACACTGAAGCCTCCCTCAGTAGCCCCTGCTAGCATCCACACACTCACACAACATGCTGCTTCACTGAAGCCTCCCTCAGTAGCCCCTGCTAGCATTCACACACTCAAACAACATGCTGCTTCACTGAAGCCTCCCCCCAGTAGCCCCTGCTAGCGTCTACACACTCACACAACAAGCTGCTTCACTGAAGCCTCCCCTAGTAGTAGCCCCTGCAACATGCTGCTTCACAAGCCTGCCCACACAACATCCACACTGCACACACTGAAGCCTCCCTTAGCCTCCTCAGCCCTCCCCTAGCATCCACACACTCACACAACATGCTGCTACACTGAAGCCTCCCTCAGTAGCCCCTACCAGCATCCACACACTCTCACAACATGCTGCTACACTGAAGCCTCCCTCAGTAGCCCCTTCCAGCATCCACACACTCACACAACATGCTGCTACACTGAAGCCTCCCTCAGTAACCCCTTCCAGCATCCGCACACTCACACAATATGCTGCTACACTGAAGCCTCCCCTAGTAGCTCCTGCTAGTGTCTACACACTCTCACAACATGCTGCTACACTGAAGCCTCCCCTAGTAGCCCCTGCTAGTGTCTACACACTCTCACAATATACTGCTACACTGAAGCCTCCCCTAGTAGCCCCTGCTAGCGTCTACACACTCTCACACGATATACTGCTACACTTTCATCAGCTTTCATTGCAGCTTTTACAGTATCAGTACACACTCTCACAATATACTGCTACACTGAAGCCTCCCCTAGTAGCCCCTGCTAGCGTCTACACACTCTCACAATATACTGCTACACTGAAGCCTCCCCTAGTAGTCCCTATACTGCACTTCACACATGCTAAGCCCCTAGTAGCCTCCTCACTAGCAGTCTACACACTCTCACAATATACTGCTACACTGAAGCCTCCCCCTAGTAGCCCCTGCTAGCTGCCTACACACTCTCTCACAATATACTGCTACACTGAAGCCTACCCCTAGTAGCTCCTGCTGAAGCCACACATGCTGCTACACTGAAGCCTCCCCTAGTAGCCCCTGCTAGCGCTCTACACACTCTCACAATGCTATACTGCTACTACACTGGAAGCCTCACACAACATGCCTAGTAGCCCCTGCTAGCGTCTACACACTCTCACAATATACTGCTACACTGAAGCCTCCCCTAGTAGCTCCTGCTAGCTCCTACTAGTAGCTCTACACCTACACAACTGCTACACTAGTAGCCTCCCCAGTAGCTGCTAGCGAGCGATATACTGCTACACTTACATCAGCTTTCATTGCAGCTTTTACAGTATCAGATTTGTCCATTTCATTTTCAAAATTTTCTGGTGAAAACTATATCTTGACATTTTCTTGTCTTTACTTGAAAGATTTCCTCACTACTTTTCAGTCATAAATAAACATAAGTATATGAAGCATCTAAAAAAAGAACCACTGACAGTATACAATGTGTGATTTTAAGACATTCTGATTCAAAACCTTAGTCCTGTAGCCAGAGTCAGAGTTTTAGAACCATGTGAACAGCTGGGATATATCAGAAGCTATTTTATTAATGATTCCTGGTATTCGAGCCAAAATTCTGCAAAATAGAATACTTACATCAGTTTGTGCCAACATCTCTTGTGACTTTGGTAGTCATGTCAGAAGTAGAAAGAAATGCTTGTGGCCATTACATATCCAACCAAAAGACTCAACTACACTGATAGGATTGCCGTAGAGGAAGTGGGTGGGATCCCATGGAGATTGCAGGTTGTCCCCAGCAGCCCATGCTTGTCTTCTGAGGACATTTACTGAATTGGGCGGTCAGTCTCGGTGACAGATCTTAATAGCATGTAATCATTACTCCACGTTGTTGATCAATCCTCTCCACATCAATCCCGGGATTGTCTGGCTTGGACTTGATCAACTTGCCCAGATGTTGCTGAGTGTGATGTTAAACAAGTGCTTTGATACTTTCAAGATCTTGTCAGTTTTAACCGTTTTGAATTAACATCGATTAGTCGACTGTTGTAGAGAAAGGAATGACAGTTTTTATCATTTTTTGTTTTGACTCATGTTTATGAAATTTTTCATTGGATCCATAAAACTAATGTCTTCAAGAGAAACTTTACATGCAGATATGCTTAGTCTCAAGTGTTTTAGATAAATAATAACTTCATCTTTTGAGTCTATCACTTTCAAAATTGTGTTCAGTTACTTCTCAAGCCAGTCTTGACATAGCTGCACAAGGCAATATTTTCTTTCTATTTCTGACGCTACACTAGCCCTTAACCATGTTTACTGGACTCTGACATCTGGCTAGTGGCTCAAACTTTTTTAATTACAGTGACAGCAAGTCTGTATTCTTATACCATGTGCAAGACGAATTCCTTTGGATATAAATTCAAAATTCAAAACCATTGTCCTGTAGACAAGCCATTGTTTCCACTAATCGAGTATCACCAATGATGTTGTCAAGTGTTTTCACTTGAGTAGCAGCCACCAGAAGTTTTGAGGATGTTATCTGCAACTGGTCGATCAGTAGGAGTGCCAGGCATTGCAACAGTTATCTCCCATTGTTTTTCTCCCAAGGTTTACTAACACCTTTAAGATCACGACCTGTGACGTATGTCATAAGCAGATGTTTCTGGGCTATAAGTGTAAAGACTGCAAGTAAGACAATGAAGTCACTGGTATCACTAGAGATCATTATCGTCATAGCGTACTCACTCCCTCACTTACTCAAGTAGCCAAGTTCCACCTCAAACTAGCCTCACTGCCTAAGACACTCTCTGCAGACAAAGGGAGCTAACTCATGTTTGATATTGACTACTGTTATGTATTACTTTTCCTTGTTACTGAGTAACAAATCCTAACAAATTTTGCAATAGCTGTCATGATGACCAAGTTCACTGCATAAAATTAATAAAAGAACTTATTAATTTTCTTATGGAATTTGAGCCAGGAAGACCTTTTATGAGTATTTTGGGAATTGTTGGATTAAAGTGACAATGTTCCCTGTGAGTGTCTATGGCAGAGTGTGGTTAGTGGGTGGAGTCTGGTTCGTGGGCGTTGGTAACTGACTCTGTACAGTGCTGTACTCTCCGTAAGTCCCAGCTAACTACCAGACCAGACACTGGCTTGCTGGAGCAGATTCCAGCATGTTCACATGTGATAATATCCTTTTTGAGTGTTTAAAACTTGATGATGATGTTATAAGTTATGGAGTATTATGATCGCCATTGCTGAGCATGAAGAAATCACCCGTCCTTCTCTCATGGACATCCAGTGTATCAGATCTCTATTTTATTATCACAACCTTTGTTTTGGGCCTCGTTTAGATGAAGTGACATTAAAAACAACCATCTAGTCACATTCAATGCAATGTCATGATTGAAACCAGCAGCCATATCACCAAAATTCCACCTTTCCTTCAGTCACAAATGAACATTTCTGTCCGTGTCCGGAAAAATAAAACATCGTACAGTTTTAAAATAACATACAAGCATTTTGGAACCCCCCAAATCATTACATTTTAATATGTTTTTGTAATAGAAGGCATACCTGGTACACTGGAGAATATAATCAATTGGCTATTATTCCTTGCATCAAAACATAAACATATTTGAACTGTAAGAGGAATCAAAATACATTGTCCTCATTTAATCATTAAGAAGTCATTCATCTTGTCTGATTTCCTGAAAAGTTCCTGTTATTGGAGGTTGTTTACCCTGTGAAATCAATGAAATTGTATATGCAACTGGCATCTGCATGGTCAGACATGGGACTGAACTATGGTAGCTAGCTGGGGCTGAACCTGGTGACCCGCTCACCCAACTTGTTGTCACAGGCTTCTAGTACCACGTGGGTATTCAGATTTACATTTCTCGTCAAGCCAGGCATCTCACTGGATCGTTTAAATGAACATTTAGAGTTCATTTTGAATGAATAAGATTAGACTAAATATGAGATTACTACCTGCACCAGTCTTGTGAAGGTTGATGCAGGTATATCGTATTGTATTGCCACAAAGGTGAGAAGCCAGTGACCCCCCTCCCCTCATCACCCTGCCCTCCAGAACTAACTATAGACTAGGTGGGGGTCCTCCCGCCCTCTTCCTTCTAGACATTGCCTGACTGTGGTCCATGCTGTCTGATCGTCTGTCCGTCAGTCTGCCTGTCAGTCTGTCCTTCACATTTCAGCCTGTAGATATAGCTTAGACATGCAATTCACACTGACAGTCAACAGTGGGGCATGTGCTTCGGTTCTTGTCCTTCTCCATACCTTTATTTTTGACTTGGGAAATTTATTTTCAGCATTGAATTATTTCTGTGAAACGTACAGTGTTATGCCAAATGTAACACATGGTACAACATGCAGTACGTATCACTATGCAATATATAATAAAACTGTATTCAACGTTGTATAAGATATTTACTGTGGCCAGATGGACATGATCCAGCAACCCCACTGTGACTGCCTCTGTTGACTGCCTCTGTTGACTGCCTGACTCATCCACTAACAACTTTCCAGCTGTCCCTGCTTCCCACATAATGTTCTGTTGACTGTGCTCAACAAAAGCTCTGTTGACTGCTCTCAACTGGCCCTTTGTTGACTGCTCTCAACTGGCCCTTTGTTGACTGCTCTCAACTGGCCCTTCGTTGACTGCTTTCAGCTGAAGCTCAGGCGGCAGCTTTCAACTAGAGCTCTGGTGACTGCTCTCAACTAGAGCTCTGTTGACTGCTCTCAAATAGAGCTCTATCGACTGCTCTCAAATAGAGCTCTGGTGACTGCTCTTAGCAAAAGCTCTTTTGAGTGCTCTCAACACCTACATCTCTGTTGACTGCTCTCAACAGGACTGCTTGTGACTGCTCTCAGCTAGAGTTCTGTTGACGGCTTTTGACCAAAGCCCTGTTGACTCTTCTCAAATACCTCCCTCACCAGCCTCTCTTACCAGTAGCTTGCCATGATACATGCGGACAGACTCCTCTCATACTAGCGTCTACCAGATTGTCATCCATCCACTCAGCAAATGTGTGTCCGCTAGCAAGGTGTCTAGTCTCTGTTGGTTGATCAGTAAGCAGGGTTAGAAAGGAAGCTGGACCTCAGCCCACCTTGTACAAGAGGCTGAGGCTGGGGCTAACAGTCAGGGCATAACGTCTACCCTGGTAAGGTGTATGCTTTGTTTCTTTCTTTAGATTTAACTCCAGCTTTGTGTTTGCTCCCTGTGATATTTGCGCTACCATAATCCTAAGGGGAAAAGTTTGTAAATATTGCAAGTAAGTATGATCAGTGGTCAGGCCAGCATCATATCTTGCTGGATAGTCAGCAGTTTTGGTGATAGGATCACTGTTGATCGGTTTGCCATTGAAATATACCCTGGTACAAAACAATCTATGGAGTTTGAGCTAGATTGTCCTGCTGTATTGAAATATAATTCATCAAACTGCATTATATGAAAACCATGTTCTGTGAACTGATAAAAAACTGACAACTCCTAGTTCCAGACATCAAATGCATTTGAAAACAAGTTTCTTTTATTGTAAATTGATGTAATTTGTAAGTGTTTTCAATAGCATGCATTGAAAGTCTGCCCCCTCTTATCCTCAGAGCATTTCCAAATGCACCCAGTTGCTTAAGAATTTACAACACTAACTAATGGATATTTGTAAAACCAGCGTACGATAAAAGTCCAGCAAGGAAAATCTGGATCCGACTAGATACATTGTTTTGTAACCAGGGTACATGCAATGGTAAAAAGATTGAGAGTGACCCTTTCAGTTTTGTCAATTTCGCTTGGGATTGAACCCAGTTGAGCTAAGTTTCTGTTTGGATGAATTTGTCCCGATTCCGTTTTTTTTTTGTTTTTTTTTTACCTTAACACAACTTTCTTACTCTTAGGTTCAGTTAACTATTTTATTATGTCAACAGATATTGAATAGATTGGTTTGGAATCAACAGTTATCTAATCCTAACTTTGGTTGCATTCTTTATTGTGGGTTTCATCCTTAACTAACATGTAATACTGACAAATATACCTTGATATTATCTTGCATGCTCGACCATATATTCCCACTTTCTAATCTGATTTTATTTTCGTTTTTATTTCACTGGTTTATGTAAAAGTTTAAACAAATTACATTTGATTGAATATCACTACTTCAAGTTTAATTTCCAACAATTTGATAATAATAATGTTATGACTACATTTTGGAAAATTATGAAAGGCCGTTAAAATGGAATGTTGGGATGAATCCGTATTAAAGGTATTTGAATGTGTGTGAGTGTGTGATAACTGGCGCAGATTACAGCCCCACTGTCCTCAGGCCCATCCTCTGTCCCGTCCTCTGTACCGTCCTCTGTCCCCGTCCTCTGTCCCCCGACCCCTGTAAGCTCTGCATGGTATAGTACTCGTGTCTCCTACATCTGTAGTGAAATGGAGATAACTCTGGTTGGTCTCTGGCGTGTTGTGCTGTGGTTGACTGGTCTCCCTGTAGACGTGTCTAGATGTTATAAATATTTCACGTAGATATATGTAAATATTAAAGCTACCATTAGATGTTTGTCTGGATATTTCAGTGTGCAATAGTAAAAGTCATCATGTGGATCTTTTACCAATAATTTGCCACAAAGTATTAACTTTTTTTGCAATTTTTTCAAAAGTATCTTTTCTGTATCATATTTAAATGTGTTATTTTCATACGTATTAATTTAAGAATCTTGATTGTAAATTTTGTTTGGTTTATTTGTTAAATTTTATCATGAAGTTGTTTGACACAGTATATACAATGTGTACAGTAAGGTGAAGGTAGCTTTGACTGATGGGGTTGGAACTGGACCTCTGCAATTGATGCTGGATGCTTTGGTCAGATGCCGCGGGTTGTTTGCGTGTCATTGTACCCAGTGGTATGGATCATAGCTCGCAACTTCAATCACTGGATTGTCTGGTCCAATTTCAGACCGCTGTCGTATAGTTGAAGTATTGCTCAGTTTAGCTTCAACATACAAGGATGATGATTATTGGAGAGTTAATGAGCAGCATTCTGCACGGCCATTTTATTCTCACCCTTGGGAATTTGGGGCAGACTCTCAGTCCCTGGTGTTTGCCTTCAGAGCCAAAATGGTAAAACGGTGTTCAGACTGCTGATTGCATGTCCTTGTGCCTAGATGGTATGGAAAGCTGCCACTGCATCCAGTCACTGGATCGTCTGATCCAGACAGTATTACTTACTGCTGCTGTGATATAGCTGGAATATTGTTGACTGTCACGGTTTTCATAACAATCATTACCTCATTTGGTATCAGGCAAATATTTTTCTCAGTTGTCTGAATGTGAAAGCTTTAGCCAACTCAGCAATATATTTATGTAGGTATTATGTAGATATAAATCCACCCTATAGTTTGATGTTATTTTTCAGAGGCAAATTATCCATCACCCTAAAATAATTATTATTTGATTTTGTTCTAATTTGTAACTGTAAAATACCCTTATATATTTATTTTAATTTCAAACATTTATCTCAATTAAGATTTTAACAATTGTTCTCAAAGATATCTGCTTGCTTAAGCTTACTATGAGGACATACCTCCATGTTAAATGTTGAAAAATGTGTTTGTTATATACCTGTTGCTTGTCATCTCTGTATGATCTGATGGAGATTTCTTTGCCAGGAAAAAATTCCATCGTGACTGTGCTAGTAAAGCCCGGCCGACATGTGGTCTGACTGACGACTATGTGGATGCAATCATAGGATTAACAGGTAGGTCTGGATGTACCTGTCACTCCTTGATTTTGGATAGTGCTGCAGGATTGTGGGTCCTTGTACTCTGGTCTTGTATTCTGTCAAGGAGTAGGAAGAATAAACCCCCAGTAACCCATGCTTGTCGTTCTAGTGGGTTCTGTAAGGAGTGATTGTCCCATATTTGCTGATCTTTGACCGAAGGAGTCCATATAACCAGTGCTTATATGTCTGTGGACAGTATGATATGATTGTCCTGTAAAGAACTGTGCTTGTCAGAATCAGTCCCCGATTTGTGACAGTTGAACAGAATATGGCTTCAGAACCCCATGCATATCTTTTCAGAGGAATATCAAGGCAGTGTTGTAGTTCATAGTGATAGTTACTTCAGCTTTCTGGGAAAATTTTTAAGTTTTGGGGAGTGTTCATAAGTTCTTTCCTCCTTCCTCCCCAAAGAAAAAGTTATTACTCAGAAGAAAAAATATTTTGTGACTCTGCCTCAGGAACACTGCAAGATATAACTGGGATACTTTCCAATTCGGTGTTAAATCCAGCTTTCTATCAAAATGAAGCACAGACCACAAGCATTCTAATACATGCATTGAAGTCAAGATTGAAGTCAATTCTTATATAAGTTATGTTACCTCACTTCATCCACATGTACATGCCTTTGGCTGAATGTCAGGAGAAATGTTCTTAAAGTACCACAATGCTGCTTGTTTCAGGCACTGAACCTTTGCCGGACTCCAGCTCCAACACATCATCCTGCAACTCTTCAACTCCTTCATCCCCTGCTCTCATCTCATCCGGCACTGTCACTTCACCATCCCCAGCACCATCCCCCAACATCTCAATACAGTTCCAGTTCCCAGGTGAGTTCCCCCCAACATCTCAATACAGTTCCAGTTCCCAGGTGAGTTCCACCCAACATCTCAATACAGTTCCAGTTCCCAGGTGAGTTCCACCCAACATCTCAATACAGTTCCAGTTCCCAGGTGAGTTCCCCCCAACATCTCAATACAGTTCCAGTTCCCAGGTGAGTTCCACCCAGTTCCCCCAGCGTCTCAATACAGTTCCAGTTCCCAGGTGACGTCCCCCAACATCTCAGTACAGTTCCAGTTCCCAGGTGAGTACTCCCTTTCTCGTCAATTTTTGGCTTGTGTTCCATGATTGTCTTGTCTTGTGTTGTGATTGTGTTATCTTGTGTTACAGAGGTGCCTGATAGTATCACTGCCAGTCTCCCAATGGACTACACCATGAGCACTGACCACAGGGCATATGAGTAAGTCGTCCCTGACAAAGTCCACTCTCTTTCCTCCTCTCACCCTTCTGGTAATTTCATATTCATTGTGAAACATGGAATGACACTCTGTGAATTTGTAATGTCAAAGACTGAATGTAATTTCCTACACTGAATAAACAGTGATGCTTTTAACCAAGTGAATGCATGACATTGATGACTGTTTTTGTCTTCACAGTGACATCGTCAACACAAATACTTCCAACGATAGTGATAAGACTCTTGTAGATGTAAGTATCAGAAGAACCTAGCCAAGTTGCTAGATTAATGTGGTGTCACACTTCAAAGTCTCCAAACCCGTGATGGTCCGGGGTTAGAATATTGATCTTCAGTAACCCATGCTTGTCGTAAGAGGCGACTAACGGGATCGGGTGGTCAGGCTCGCTGACTTGGTTGACACATGCCATGGGTTCCCATTTGCGTAGATCGATGCTCATTCTGTTGATCACTGGATTGTCTAGTCCAGACTCGAATATTTACAGACCGCCGCCATATAGCTGGAATATTGCTGAGTGCGGCACAAAAAGTAAACTCACTCACTCACTCAAAGTCTCCAATATTCATATGGATGTGTATGCCATGGTTCTGGGATAAAGTTCGCACTGGATTTGAGTTAAAAACGAGTGTTAATCAAAAGAGGTGACTTATGACTCAGGTGGCCATGCTCGGTGACATGTCATTGTGCCCTTATGACCTGGATCATGGATCATGATCATTGCTTGCAGTATTGATCACAGTATTATATAGTCCATTCTTTAGTAGCGACTGTCTGATAGCTGTAATATTACTGAGTGTGGTAATACAAACACTTGCACACATGGATATGGGATCTTGTGGATATCTAAGGTTCAGCTACATGTCTCAGTGTTAGGCGAGTGCTGTGATAATGTGGAAGTGATGTCGTACCTCTCGGTTGCCCCAAGGAGGTGAGGTGAAATTGGGTTTAACGTCGTGCTTGAGAATATTTCGCTCATATGACGACGTGCATGCGTGTGTATGTGTATGTGCGACTGCTTGTACTAGCCCAGACTTAAGCTGGTTTTATAGTGCTAGCCCACTGAGATACCATGCCGCAGTGAAGCATACATACCCCACTCAGACACATTATACTGACTCCGAGCCGACCAGTCCTTGTTGTACCCATTAATGCCGAGCGCCAGACAGGGACCAACAAGTACCATATTTTAACGTCTTTTGGTATGACGCGGCCAGGGATCGAACCCGCGACCTTCCGTTCTCCGGCGGACGCTCTAACCACTACACCACGGAGGCGGTCTTGCCCCAAGGAGGACTCCGCACTATATTTCAGGAGTTCCTTCTCCATGTTCCTTCCATGATTGTGATTGAATTGATGACCTATTTCAGAGTACCGGTAACCCCATTGATAGGACCCTGCTAGACCGAGTAGACTCTATGGACAGTCAGGATGATCTAGGACATGCGTGGAACAGGCAGAACAGTGTAAGTAGACACGCTATAAGTAGACACGCTAGACTGTGGTGTAAGTAGACAGGATGGACTGTATTTACAGTTGGGATCATCTAGGACATGCGTGGAACAGGCAGAACAGTGTGAAGTAGACACACTAGACTGTGGTGTAAGTAGACAGGGTGGACTGTATTTACAGTTGGGATCATCTAGGACATGCGTGGAACAGGCAGAACAGTGTAAGTAGACACGCTAGACTGTGGTGAAAGTAGACAGTTGGGACGCTGGAACAGGCAGAACAGTAGACTGTGGTGTAAGTAGACAGGGTGGACTGTATTTACAGTTGGGATCATCTAGGACATGCGTGGAACAGGCAGAACAGTGTAAGTAGACACGCTAGACTGTGGTGTAAGTAGACAGGGTGGACTGTATTTACAGTTGGGATCATCTAGGACATGCGTGGAACAGGCAGAACAGTGTAAGTAGACACACTAGACTGTGGTGTAAGTAGACAGGGTGGACTGTATTTACAGTTGGGATCATCTAGGACATGCGTGGAACAGGCAGAACAGTGTAAGTAGACACGCTTGACTGTGGCAGACACGTAGACTGTGGTGGCAGACAGGGTGGACTGCTAGACAGGACATGCGTGGAACAGGTGGTGTAAGTAGACACGCTAGACTGTAGACAGGGTGGACTGTATTTACAATGATCTAGGATGCGTGGAACTAGGACAACAGTGTAAGTGGACACGCTAGAATGTGGTGGTAGAAGGTGGACTGTACAGTAGATGATTTAGACATGCGGGAACAGGCTAGACTGTGGTGTAAGTAGACCGCAGCTAGACTGTGGTGTAAGTAGACACGCTAGACTGTGGTGTAAGTAGACACGCTAGACTGTGGTGTAAGTAGACAGGGTGGACTGTATTTACAGTTGGGATGATCAAGGACATGCTTGTTTGATACCAACGCCGATGGTCTGAGTCAAGCAAATTTTCTTAAGGACATGCTAAATTTTGTTAACAGTGAATGTATTGTTTTGTGTTATTTTGGGAGAGTAACAAATTAATCCATGTTTATATAACTTGAAATCAGCTCTGTGGAGAAGCAGTAACCTAATCAACTGTGTGTGGTACAGCGGTTGCTCAATGAAGTAAGCCTTTAATACCCTTTTGGTCAGGACAATGGTTTCTAGTAGAGATCCCAGTAGAACCAGCAGGTTTTTTCCTTGTGCTGGTCCTGCTACAGCCCTATGTGTATTGCATGTGTTGTATTGTTGATATGATGGTGGTTGGGTGTTGCAGTTGTCTGTGGCCATGAAGGAGTGGGACATCCCATATGAAGAGCTCCAGTTCACAGAGTCCATAGGCAGGGGACGACTAGGCACAGTGTTCAAGTAGGTATTTCACCCAGTGTCTCACCAGTGTAGGCAGTATTGCTGCTGTTGCAATACCAAACCTATACAAGCCATGTGAGCGAAAGCCACCGTCTTTAGTCGAGTATTAACATTTCAGTCCGTATTTTATACAGAACCCCTGTAAATCTACACGACTGATGAGTATTCAAGTATGCTGTTCAAATTCTTGTTCAAGCTTGATTTTGAATTCAAATTTAAAATTATGTACTCATGGGCCTGACCGAGGTTGTAATAGCTTTTCCCCTCTCGAAAAACTGTTGAAAGTGTTGTCAAATCAAACACACACAGTTCCTGAACCGCCATTACACTGACCTCGCTCATTGCTCACTCATCCTCACTGTGAAGATCGGAGTTACAATTGATCTTCAGCAACCCATGCTTGTCATAAGAGGCAACTAACCAGATCAGGTGGTCTGCTTTCGAACTTTGTTGATGTGTCTTTGTATTATAATTGTCGTAGATTGATGCTCATGATGTCAGTCACTGGATTGTGTGGTCAGACTTGATCATTTACAGGCCGCCGTTATATAGCTGGAAAATTGCTGAGTGGGGTTAAACGACAAAGAAACAACCAAACTCTCTCATCCTTCACAACCGATCTACCTATTCATGTATGGAAAGCACTTTTACTTTTCACTATGTCTGATAACATGTGTTTTTGTTACAGGGGTCAGTGGCACGGAGACGTGGCCATCAAATTATTAGACATGGGTAACGAGGCGGACAATCAGGCACAATTAGCGGCTTTTAAATTAGAGGTGAGACATATTTGATATGCATTTATGTTATTCATTTTATGGAAATGAGAGATCACATGACAAGCAAGAGATGGATAGAAGTTAGATAAATGTAATACAGAGATGGAAACAAACAATTTTTTCTTATGCTGACTCATGATCTTTTGCTTATCTTCCTTTTCTTTTCGAATGGTAGTGGAACACTTGAATCCCTTGAAGTTCCCGAAGCGGACGTAAAAATACACTCACCCACGAGTTACCTCCTTTTTCCCGCGTAAACAGTCATGTGACCAGCCTTACTTCTCCACTCTCTCCCTTTTCGCTCAAGTGGATGGTTGGGCGAGCACTGGAGTCCCGTATACAGCATTATATCCTTTTTATTTAGGTCCTGTTCTTTAAAATTATGCTGTGTGTGGATTTGGCAGTAACTACTATGTATTATATGTAAAAAAAATGAAAAAATTATTTGTTTTTGTCCCCCGCCAGAACACGGAACGGGGGACTATGTATTCAGCGGCGTCCGTCCGTACGTCCCGATTCTTGTTAATGCGATATCTCATGAACAGTTGTACCCAATGTCTTCAAATTTGGTGACAGCCTACATTAGGGGATTACGCAGACACCAGTTGATTTGGGTGACCTTGACCTTATTTTCAAGGTCACCACGACACTGACCACTTTTCAAACTCTTGTTAAAACACGATATCTCATGAAATGTTGTACCCAATGTCTCCAAATTTGGTGACAGCCTACATTGGGGGATTACGCAGACACCAGGTGATTTGGGTGACCTTGACCTTATTTTCAAGGTCACCACGACACTTTGACCACTTTTCAAACTCTTGTTAGCATGATATCTCATGAACTGTTGTACCCAATGTCTTCAAATTTGGTGACAGCCTACATTAGGGGATTACGCAGACACCAGTCGATTTGGGTGACCCTGACCTTATTTTCAAGGTCACGACATTTTGACCACTTTTCAAACTCTTGTTAGCATGATATCTCATGAACTGTTGTACCCAATGTCTTCAAATTTGGTGACAGCCTACATTAGGGGATTACGCAGACACCAGTCGATTTGGGTGACCCTGACCTTATTTTCAAGGTCACCATGACACTTTGCACGCTTTTAACTCTTGTTAACATGATATTTCATGGACTGTTCTTCAAATTTGGTGACAGCCTACATTGGGGGATTTCACAGACACCAGTTTATTTAGGTGACCTTGACCTTATTTTCAACGCCTTCAAGTATCCTTGAACGGCCGTACAAATAATATTATTAACACTCGTCACTCAGCGTGGGGATTAGGATTTTATATCCTATCAACTAGATTCAACATCGGTATTTCTTCAAGATCCATACAGACATAACTCTTGTTAACATGATATTTCATGGACTGTTCTTCAAATTTGGTGACAGCCTACATTGAGGGATTTCACAGACACCAGTTTATTTAGGTGACCTTGACCTTATTTTCAACGCCTTCAAGTATCCTTGAACGGCCGTACAAATAATATTATTAACACTCGTCACTCAGCGTGGGGATTAGGATTTTATATCCTATCAACTAGATTCAACATCGGTATTTCTTCAAGATCCATACAGACATACGTCTCGACAGCCTCCTTCGTCATGCTGGCTTATTTTATCCACAATGGAAATAATGGAAATACGTGATTTATATCACTGAACAAGAATTTACACTTGAAGCAACCCTTATTCAAGAGGTTTATATGAGCGGCGTAGATTTACTCAACTAACAAATTGCATCAGATTTTATGGAGGCCAACTTGCTACAACACCGGTGACGTCATGCTTGGAAGCTGATAGGTCCACGTCAGACAATGCCTCCCACTGAGAGAGCAAGCGCCAGCATGTCTTCTGATTTGTAAACAAACCCGTGGTACGGGGGAATACTTCATCAGCAGCCTTGGAAACAGTATACAACTGCAGCCTGTTATCATCATGGGAATCAATAGATGTTTAGCCTTGACAGCAGGATAAACGATGTTTATTTTGGAAGTTGTTCGCTGATAAAAGTCGGTATGTATGAGTACCTGTCCCCTGCGATGCTACACTGGAGCCAGCCTTGCTATAAATAGACAACGCTTCGATGTCAACACAGATCGCCTGCGTATATAAGGGGAAGAATGATGTATCATCACTGCAATCAGAGGTTAGCACTTCCAATGGAACGTCCTACCGTTTGGAATATCTTCAGCTCTATGATTATTCATATGAATAACCAAGCCTATCGGCACCTATCTGCAGCATCGAGGTCTACACAGTGCCGGTTATCTGGACGACGGCATACAGGTTCTTCAAAGTGCCAATCAACTCAGACAGCAGCTGAATATCACAATTAAGTTGCTCACGCAACTAGGATGGCTAGTGAACCTGATGAAGTTGGAGCTGGGAATAAGAATTATCACAACACAGAATCGAATTGTGGTCCCAGAAGATCATTGGGTCAAGATACAAGCCATGATTCCACAAGCAGTCATCTCTTTGTTAACACTACGAACATGGCAATGTCTACTCGGTCTACTAACCTCGGCGCAGGACTTTGAGACAGGAAGATTACAATTGCTGCAACGGTTCCTGACAAAACATCTGGACAGCGTCGACCCTATCTTGCTGCCAGACAATCTTAAGAGGTACCTACTTTGGTGGACCCACAGGTCAAACGTCTGCGTAGGGACCTATTTACAAGAGCCGGCCTTCAACACACATCTCTACGTAGACGCATCGATACAAGGTTGGGGTGCACATCTCAACAATTAAGTTGCATCAAGGAAGTGGTCCAAACAGAGCAGCATTTTCACATCAATCTGCTGGAGATGAAAGCTGTGATCAACGCCTTGCAACTATGGTCGAGCTCTCTGATCAACAGAATGCTGATGGTCCACATGGACAACTCTACAGTGGCATTCTCCATAAATCGGCAAGGATCTACAAGATCACCAAGCCTACTACAGCTCACATTCCAGTTGTTTGACATCATGGAGGAGGCAAACATCTGGATAAAGGCGTGTCACATAACCGGAGCCAATAACATGCATGCAGACGCTCTCTCCCGACCACTGCACCCGTCACCTACAGAATGGATACTCCATCCAGAAGCATTTCGGCTCATCATAAGGGAAATAGGATCCCCATGCATAGACCTGTTTGCCACGAGGTTCAACAAACAACTACAGACGTTTGTCTCACCAGTTCCAGATCATCAAGCCTGGGCAACAGATGCACTGAACATATCATGGGAAGGACTAAACGCTATGCGTTTCCACCACTGATATTACTACCGAAAGTACTGTTGAAGATCAAACAGACACAGGCGCTACAACTGACTTTGGTCGCGCCATACTGGCCAGCGAGAGTATGGTTCCTAGACCTAATAGAAGATCTCGGAAGTCCAACAATCAAGTTACCAGATTGGCCGAACCTACTCATACATCCGCACACCAAGCAAGTCCACAGGAACCCAACACTGTTCCAGCTACATGTGTGGACCGTATCAAAACATGTTTGAAGAAAAGAGGATACTCTGCCAGGGCAGCCAAGGCAGTAACGCTAGCGTTACGCAGATCTACTCGTAACATGTATGATGACAAGTGGCTGAAGTTTGAGACTTATGCAAGGCGGAAAGACTTCATTGGGATGAAAGCTACTCATTCTTAAGTTGCGGAATACCTGTGTCATCTTAGACAGACCAGACATCTGAAAGGTTCGACATTATCTACATACCTCGCCGCCATCAGTACAGTGATTACCATGAAAACAGGCATCAAGTTGACGAGAGTACCAGAATTACTTGCTCTGCTGAGATCTTTTAAACTGGAGGACCAGCAAAAGAAGTTCAGAGCTCCGGCCTGGGATCTGAATGTAATTCTACGTCATCTTACCAGTGACAAACCTCTAGATCAGACTACCCTCGAGCTGCTGACACAGAAGACTCTGTTCCTGCTTGCGCTAGCCACGGCAGCTCGAATATCAGAGATACATGCGCTGGACTTTGGTCGAACCAGATTCGACACGGGCAACATGCTGCAGTTCATCTAGGACTTAGATTGGACTTCATTGCCAAGAACCAACTACCTGGTCAGCCAGATAGACAGTTCTACGTACCAGCGCGCTATCTACAATCCTCGGACCAGAGGATATAGAGGACCTATCCATGTGTCCTGTCAGAGCCCTGAAGATATATCTTCAAAGACTAAGACAAGGAGACGAAACGTCAAGCGCCTGTTCATCCCATTATCCACAGAGACATCAGCAGAAGTCACAAGAACGACGACATCGTTCTGGATGAGAGCCATCATATTGAGAGCCTATAAAGCAGGACTAGAACCTCCAAGAGCTTCCAACCCACACGAAGTCAGAGCATTGGTGTCAACACTAGCTCTGCATGGAAATTGCTCTATATCAGCAATTATGGAGGGTTGCTTTTGAAGTCGGACACGGTGTTTGCCAAACACTGCCTCCGAGACATAGCCACTGAAGACGTTTCAGGCATTCACCAATTTGGGTCTCTCGTTGTAATACAGCTACTAACGGCTCCACAAAGGCGCTGAGTTGGAAAATCTCATCCTTTATCACATTTACTTGTTGATAACTTTCACTAGAGAAAAGTATTAGTTTGAAAGTCCATGCGCACAGTCTAGGACAGGCAAGCATGAGTGATTAAAGATCCTGTACAGGTAAAGATCTTACCTGTATGTGAAGGGGTCGCAACTCATTTATGATAAAGATCTTATCATAATCTATGGGTTGTTATAAGATATCTAGTAATAAGAAGATACTAGTTTATCTGAAGCCACATGAATCAAGATGATTAAACTTGTCTGAGAGGGAAGTAAGACAAGAAGTGGTCCCCCCGAGTTATAACGGAAGTTGGAAGAATAGGATCTCGGAAATGCCGCTAAGCAGTTCCCATGGGGGGGATAGAGGACTTATCTAAGGACAGCTGATGAATCCAGGAAGTGGCTTGACCCACCACCAATCCGTCGGATTCTATAAGCAAAAGATCATGAGTCAGGATAAGAAAAAATATGTAATTTTTCAAGTAAAATTGCTATTTTTATACTTATCCTGACTCATGAGGTCAAGCCCTCCCGACCTCCCCAGTGGAAACACTTCAGATTGCACAGCAGATCCAAGTGCTTGGGCAGGAAATCAGGAGAGAGTGACAAGTAAGGCTGGTCACATGACTGTTTACTCGGGAAAAGGGAGGTAACTCGTGAGTGAGTGTATTTTTACGTCCAATTTGGGAACTTCAAGGGATTCAAGTGTTCCACTACCATTCGAAAAGAAAAGGGAAAGATCATGAGTCAGGATAAGGGAGATAAGCATTTTTTATATTACATTTTTGGAGGAATTATTACGATATTTTGCAATTGAACCAACTTCAAGTCAGGCATTCTGCATCTAGTGTTTTGTTTAGGGTTTTATCATTTATCTTTCAATGTCAATATGGTGTTCTCTATATTCAGATAACAAAGTAAAATATTCTTAGGCAGATTGCTGTCAGTACTCTCTGTATAGTGGTGTTACTGCAGAATACTTTTATAGAACCGATTTTAGGCTATTGCCTGACTGACTTTTTTTGTCTCGGAAACCACAACCAATGGCATATGTAGTTTCTATTGAATGATTGAAACTGTGATTAATGTGTTTTTCTTCTATTTTCAGATTGCATTATTAAGGAAAACACGTCATGAAAATTTAGTTTTATTTATGGGAGCTTGTATGAAGCCTCCAAGACTAGCCATAGTAACTAGGTGAGTTGTTTCACTGTGATGTTCATTAGTTTCTGGGATGAGTGAGTGAGTTTAGTTTTTAACGCTGCTTTTAGCAATATTCTAGCAATACCACAGTGGGGACACCCTGAAGACCATGAGGGAAGACGCTAGTGTATCCTATCACCAAACTCTGTGTAAAGATCGAAGTTATGCCTTTCCTTTTACATAGACCTACAACAGTTGTAGGTTTATTTTATTTTCCTGTTAATCATCCAAACAACTGATTTTCAACTGGACTGATTATTTTAATTGGTCAAATTATACCTGTATAAGTTTATTGAGGTTCTCATTGTCGTTCTTCATTTATTCCTATTTCAGTTTTTGTAAGGGAGAGACACTGTACAGTATTATCCACACCAAGAAAGAGGTCTATAAACTGAATAAAGCGATGATCGCTGCTTCTCAAGTAGCTCAGGTCAGTAGCCAACGGAAGGAGGCTATCACAGTAGCTTCTCAAATAGCTCAGGTCAGTAGCCAACTGAACAGTTTCATGAGTGTTGCATCATGTCCCAGTAGCTAAGGTCAGTAGCCCACTGAACAGTTTCATGAGTGTTGCATCATGTCCCAGTTAATAGCCTACTTAACAAATCTATGAGTGTGAAACCATCTCCCAGTAGCTTGGCTCAGTAGCTTACTGAACCAATCCATGAGTGTGCCAACCTGTCCCAGTAGCTTGGCTCAGTAGCTTACTGAACCAATCCATGAGAGTGGCAACCTGTCCCAGCTCAGGGCAGTAGCTTACTGAACCAATCCATGAGTGTGCCAACCTGTCCCAGCTTAGGGCAGTAGCCAACTGAACCCATCAATGATATTGGCAACCTGTCCCAGCTCAGGGCAGTAGCCTACTGAACTAATCCATGAGAGTGACAACCTGTCCCAGCTCAGGCCAGTAGCCTACTTAACAAATCCATGAGAGTGGCAACCTGTCCCAGCTCAGGCCAGTAGCCTACTGAACAAATCCATGAGAGTGGCAACCTGTCCCAGCTCAGGCCAGTAGCCTACTGAACCAATCCATGAGAGTGGCAACCTGTCCCAGCTCAGGCCAGTAGCCAGGGCAGTAGCCTACTGAACCAATCCATGCTGAACCAATCTATGAGAGTGACAACCTGTCCCAGGCAACCTGTCCCAGCTCAGGCCAGTAGCCTACTTAACCAAATCCATGGCAACCTGTCCCAGCTCAGGCAAGCCTGCTGAACCAATCTATGAGAGTGGCAACCTGTCCCAGCTCAGGCCAGTAGCCTACTGAACCAATCTATGAGAGTGGCAACCTGTCCCAGCTCAGGCCAGTAGCCTACTGAACCAATCCATGAGAGTGGCAACCTGTCCCAGCTCAGGCCAGTAGCCTACTGAACCAATCCATGAGAGTGGCAACCAGTCCCAGCTCAGGCAAGCCTACTGAACCAATCTATGAGAGTGGCACCTGTCCCAGCTCAGGCCAGTAGCCTGCTGAACCAATCTATGTGACAAGAGTGGCTTAACCTGTCCCAGTCCCCAGCTCAGGCCAGTAGCCTTAACAAATCCATGAGTGTGGCAACCTGTCCCAGCTCAGGCCAGAGCTGAACCAATCTATGAGGCAACCTGTCCCAGCTCAGGCCAGTAGCCTGCTGAACCTATGAGAGTCCATGAGCCTACTGTGGCAACCTGCCCCAGTAGCTCAGGCCAGTAGCCTACTTCATCAATCCAGTAGCTTGGGTCAGGAGCCAACTGAAGGAATGAACGAGTGTGTCAATCTACACAAGTAACTCAGGTTAATAACCTGCTTAACAAATCCAAGAGTGTGACAACCCGTCCCAGTAGCTCTGGTCAGTAGCTGACTGAACAAATGCACGAGTGTGTCAACCTGTCCCTGAAGCTTAAGCAAGTAGCCCACTAAACCAATCCCTCACAGAAGCTTTTATCAGTAACTCAAACCAGTAGCCCTCCAAATGACATTTTTGGAGAAATGATCTGTTAAACTATTCTCTGATTTGTCTGATGAAAGGTCAATCTGACTTGTCCCATAAAGGGATGTTCTCAGAACTGTTTGCAGCAGAAAGAAGAACTAAGATTTGATTTTAATGAGATTTAGCCATTTAGCATAACATCTTCGTTTAGGACAGAATATGTTGTGAGTCAGCTCTTTAAAAGTGTACAGAAAGCATTGTTTTTACCTGCTACATATACACCCATGAAGATTCGGATTAGGTCTTCAGTAACCCATGCTTGTCTTATGAGGAGACTAATGGGATCAGGTGGTCTGGCTCGGTGGCTTGGTTGACACATGTCATCGTATCCCAGTTGCGTAAATCGATGCTCATCCTGTTGATCACAGGATTGTCTGGTCCAGACTTGACTATTTACAGACTGCAGCCATATAGCTGGAATAGTGCTGAGTGTGGCATTAGACAGCACAACAAAACAAAACCTGTTACCTACTATTTTCCAGAACATATGGCATGTCAGGTAACAATTAGTGCAAAAAGGATTTAAAAACAAATTCAAACAATCCCTGCCCAGTGATAACAAATGGTAGGTTTTATTACCTCAGTTGTGCTGGAATACTTCCCTGATTGTGTTGTGTCATTACTTGTAGTTTCTTTCACTGGTTGTGTCTGTTCCAGGGCATGGGGTACCTTCACGCTAAAGGCATCGTCCACAAAGATCTGAGATCAAAAAATATTTTCTTGGACAGTGGTAAAGTGGTCATCACTGACTTCGGACTGTTTAATGTAACCAAAATTTGTAGAGGCAACAGGTGAGTAGCGTGTTCTTGTAATGAGATTATGCTTGGTTTAGTGTGTTTGAGTGTGACTGTATGACAGTATGACTGGAGCAACTAGGAATAGGTTGAAGCAATAGTTTGTGTTCAGGGCTAAAACAAGCGAGTTGGTTACATTGCCACAGGTAACAATGTTCCAGTTATATCATATGTCAGCAGAATGGGGAGCCTGAAAGCCTGAAGTGATTCAGGTCACAAAGTATAACATGATGCAACTTGTTACTTTAAAGTGATGACTAATATATCATGAACATAAACTTCCTGGAGTCTTAGAGAAATATTCAGTTATGACTTTTCAGTTAGTGAAGTGAGTTTTCTAAGAAATAAACATGTTTCCAGGCCCTGACAACTTCTAAGATATGTTCCATTGTCAAGTATTTCAAAGACTAAAACAGTAGTTCCACAATCGTTTAGGTTCGATTATGAGAAAATGTGATCGATTGCATGGTCGTTTGGTCACTACAACCAATCTTCGATTTTCAATTAATCGGAACACCACTAGTCACAGATGCTTGCCACCTTTGCATAGGTGCTGACAAACCTAGGATGAACCTATAATCATAGATTTCTGGCATGCCCAAGGGAGACAACTCCACGGCTATGTTGGTCATAGAGGCAACGTAATAGATCAGGTGTCAGACTCGGTTGATTTCAGTTACCCCGACAACATGGATCATTGATCATGATATCGATCACCTGCTTGTTAACAAATTGCTGTTTATATAGCTGGAAGCAGCTTTTGATGAGATGATTGTTCAGTTGTTACATCGAATGTTAAAGTTCAACAAGTAAAGAAGAAGCTGTAATAATAATAATAATTGATTTATAGAGCCTATTTCAAAAGATATTGCAATGGATGAAAAGATTGTAGACAATGTCTATGGAAAAGAGAGTTTGAACAGATGAGTTTTGAGGGCAGTTTTGAAAATATTCTATTTCTTTAGGGTGAGTTAGAATGTTCCAGAGATTCAGAGAAACTTGATCCCATGGCTGTTTTGACGTGAGGCTGTGTAAGCAGTAGGGAGTTTGATGAGCGGAGCAATCGGCTTGGAACATGGAGATGAATGAGGCTTTTAAGATATGTAGATGAGCTGTATCATCAGTGAGTCTGTTGTCTTCCTGGTATTTAGAAGTGGTGGTGAAAACCTTAGTCAGGATTGGAAAAATGTCCAAGGGAAGAATCTTATAAGATTGTTTTGTCTTAAGAGGCCATATGTGCAGTTTTAGTTTGACCTTGTCTCATAGTTAAGCGCATGGTGTGTAGAAGGTTGCATTTTGAACAAGTGTGCAGTCTGTGGAAGAAAATCTCATCAGTCAGTAAAAGGATTTGTTCCAAATGGTTTGCCTACAGACTACACCTCCCAGTATGCACCACTGACTTACACATAATACTTTTCCTTTGACACTTGAAGATCTGGGTTAGATCTGATCTTCAAATACCAATGCTTGAGGCAGCTAACGAGATTGGGTGACTTGGCTGGTGCAAATCATTGTAACATAATTATGTAGATCAATGCTCATCTGGTCCAGACTCTATTACCTACAGACCCCATCATTTTTCTGGAATATTGATGAGTGGGGCATTTAATGACAAAGAAACCAACAAAAGCTGTTCCTCTGATGTTGTAGGAAGGAGGACTGGCTGAGAGTGCCCCCAGGATGGCTGTGTTACCTCGCGCCAGAGATAATCCGCGAGCTTCATGCCAGGCAGAACCCTAATACCGAACTGCCATTTACTGTGAGGTCAGACATATATGCATTCGGAACTGTGTGGTATGAACTGCTGTGTGGGGAGTGGCCGCTTCAGAAACCACCCCGCAGAAACCATCATCTGGCAGGTGGGGAGGGGAATGAAGCAGTCGCTCAGCAGCGTCAACGCCCCCAGGGAAGTCAAGGTAATTATGACATTATTCAGCAGAGAGCAACAAGTCTTGACTACCAGAAGAAACAGATTCCTTTTGGTTTAAAAGGTGCATGGTGAAAACTCATGAAGATCCGGGTTAGAATTGGTCTTCAGCAACCAATGCTTGTCGTAAGAGGCAACTAACGGGATCAGGTGGTCAGGCTCGCTAACTTGATTGACACATGTCATTGTATCCCAGTTGTGTAGATCGATGGTCATGCTGTTGATCACTGGATTGTCTGGTCCAGACTCGATTATTTACAGACTGCTGCCGTATAGCTGGAATATTGCTGAGTGCGGTGTTAAACAACAAACCAACAACCAAACAATATTGGTGAAAATTATATGGGCCAGCTGGCTAAGGCGCCAGGCTAGTGATCCAGCGAGGTTGAGGTGTCGAGGATTGAGCCCACCTGTGACCGGGTGTAAAACCTTGGAGTCAACTTTGTGTGCAGACTCTTTCAGTGTTGTCACAACCCCTAGTGTACAGTACACAACCCTGTGCACTGAAAAGAACCTACAAATCTGTTGGTATATGACCAGATGAAAGTGACATGCTGAATAATGCGTGCAAACACCTACTTGCGGTACAGCAGCGTGCAGTGTAGACCCATACTGTGACTGTCCCAGTCCAACCAGCTGTGAATGGGTACCTAGATGAGAAGGCCACAATAACTCGGTGCGCCTAGTGGCTGCAAGAGTTGTATACTCCCCAGGGAGTTGAGATTGATAATGCGATGTGCCGTTCAGATTGACATCCAATGATCGAGGGGGAAAAATAACAGTGCCTTGAGCATGCACTAGTTGTGTGGATATGTGCACTATATAAATATCCTATAATAATAATAAATAATAATATGAATGGATCACTGAAAATCATTAATGATCGCAGTTGTTTGGGAAAAGACAGGAGAAACTTTCACTGAATGTGGAGTTTGAAAGTCTACTGGTAAAGTATTTACTTTCAAAGTTTGGGAACACACTACAGTTTAAGGAAACAAATACTATCACAATTATTAGAGGGGGAATTGCATGAAATGTGTAGAACCATCCTGCCACAATAATCTCATTGCTAGTTGAAAGTGACATGCTGAATTGTCTTGTTGCAGGACATCCTGATGTCATGCTGGCAGTTCAAACACCCCGAGCGTCCCGACTTCAGCCAGGTGGCCAAGGCACTGGATAGAATACCAAAGAACCGCCTAATTCGGAGTCCATCACACCCGATACAGTTCTCTCGGAGCACAGAGGGAATTTTCAGTGCTTGAGCCAGTGTGTTGGATGTTGAAGTGATCCAGCCAGCAAGGCGATGGCCAAGACAATATCGGGATGATCCTACTGTGATCCATAACCCAGGGACCTGACTGTTGATCCATTATTTTATTGTGTGCAGTGAATCATATGATCATTTTCAGGCTTGATCATGTGATCATTGTACAGTGGGTCATCTGATCATTATACAATGACTGATATGATCATTTTCAGGCTTGATCATGTGATCATTGTACATTGGGTCATCTGATCATTATACAATGACTCATGTGATCATTTTCAGGCTTGATCATGTGATCATTGTACAGTGGGTCATCTGATCATTATACAATGACTCATGTGATCATTTTCAGGCTTCTTGATCGTGTGATCCTTCTACAGTGTGATCATGTGATTACAGTCTGGTCATGTGTCTGTTGTACTGTGAGGTCATGTGATCATTGTACGGAATGATCATGTGACAATGCATGGCTTGGTCATGTGACAATGTAAAGCTTGGTCATGTGATCAGCTGTTGGCAGACCCCGGCAGAACAGGTGCTCTATCTCAATGCAGACACTCCATGGCACAGAGAGTGTTGTTTGTGTGGTGGACGTCATCAGTCCCGCCAACAAGCCAGATGACCACTGACCAGAACAGTCGGCATATGTAGACCTTCTTCACGCTGAGTCCTTTGATTCATCCACACATTCTTCATTCAGGAGTGTATGACGTCATCCCATGTCATGCAAGGTCAAAGTGATGAGAGTGCCTCAGGCTAGAGTGAGTGAAATGCGTGATGTCATTTTGGATAATGAGAATGTTTGATGTAGGAGTGTTTAGTGTTGTGTGTGTGTGAGTGTGTCTGTCATGAATGTGGGATGTATCCATTGTGCTACATTGACCCCTGTCGTCACATCTCCTCTTCGTCATCAGTGTCATTGTTACCATTATTGTTATCATCATGATCATCATCAACATGTTTATCATTGTTGTCATGTTTTATGCCATGCATTTTTCAGCATTGACATTTTGAGTGTGATATTTTTTATGCTTAAAAAAATCATGAAAATTTTATTGACGCATAAATTTTTAGGCATATTATGTGTAAGCCTTTTACCTACCAAACTTTTATGTGATTACATCATTGCCTAGGCAGAGTAGAATAATGTGAACCAATAGCATGAAAATCAGATCTTTCACTCAGATGCCCCTCTGTGTGAATAAGCGACAATACTTGAGCACACTTTGATACCCTCCTAAATCAAAATAGAGTGGTTCGATTCCCCACATGGGTACAATGTGTGAAGCCCATTTCTGGTGTCCCCACCATGATATTGCTGGAATATTGCTAAAAGCAGCGTAAAACCAAACTCAGTCAGTCTTGTCCAATCTCATGTTTGCTCTCTATAATCATTTTTGTGTCTATTCTAACCCAGAGAGCACACAAAAGCGTTTGATGGAATTCTGTTGTGGATGCCATATTACTCCCATCAAAAAACAGAGTGTATGAAATTTCCACAACAAAATAATGGTTCAGCTTTTATTATTTACATTTGGAACTGTCAGTTCAATTTTAACATACCAAATTCAGCCTTGCTAGCAGTCATTCCAACTGTGTAGAAGCTTGAACACTGATTGTCTTGATGGACTCGGGTGGTTTTAGTCGTTTACTCCGAGGTGTCCTCTGAGTGTGAGAGATCTGAATTTAATGAGATTGACAGTGAACATGACTGTTGAGCTCCACCATAGTTTACGACTAGTACATTTTATACATCACAGAACAGTGTCAGCCATGAAGGAGTGTGCTTGTTGCAACTCTCCATCTGACACGTCTGACATTTTGTCATTTTAGCAGAACAAAATTGTATCATAAATTCATTTATCTTGAAATTCTTGGACAACTCATAGGCAAACATTTAGTCCAGACTGTTAGTTGAGATAGAAAACGTTAAGTTGGTGCTGAGCATCGGAACAAATATCTGATCAAGATGTTGTGATCTTGCTAAACGATAATCTTTATTTTTATTTCCATTGAAAACAAAGATGGAAGAAAGATTGAGTTGATGATGTTGTCAGCTGTTGGATGCTGGGCTGCTGGAGTCCTCTGTGATTGGTTGGAAGTAGATGCAGTATCAGACTATCATGTGATATATTCCCTGTGTGGTGCTGCCAGGCGACACTCCGACACTCGCCCAGCCAATGGGATACAGGCACTCTCACCATGTCCCATGTACATGTACAGAGTAGACAAGGAATGTATCTCATAGTAGACAAGGAATGTATCTCATAGTAGACAAGGAATGTATCGCATAGTAGACGAGGAAGATACATCAGAGTAGACAAGGAATCTACATCAGAGTAGACTTGGGAGGTTGTTTATGATACGCATCGTGATACACAGGTCATGGAGCGATTTGTATCATGATACACATTGAGACTAAATTGCATGGAAGGCTCCAAATGAAAGCTAAGATTTTAGTCCTGTGTAACACCAGCATTTACTTGCATAATCCAATACAGATTCATTGATACTATTTCCAATGACTGACAGTGACTAGAAAATGAACGAAGATTGGTAGGTCAGCTTATGTATGAGACATACCATTTTGATACAAATTTCAAGGGTCAAGTTAGGACCTCTGCTTATCTATGAGGTCAGCTGATCTACGGTAATATAGAGTACTTGTAATGCATGCCCTTAGCGGCTATGTTCAGTTGTGAACTTGAAAGTCTTATTTCAATTCATGTTGCGATATTTGATTTAAAAATCATCAGGGTTGGGGGTGTCACGAGTAGGAAGTATATTAGCTAGTGTATCATCTTGTATCGATACAGAGAAAATATATCGTGTATCACTGGTGTATCATTCACTGCAAGTTTACACTTTTCTCAATGTCACTTTGGTATCAAGTGGTTGTTACAATATATCTCAACGTAATCTTGGTTTGCACATGGTTTGCAAATCCTTTCTACATAATTTTATGACAGGAATCATAGTTTAAACTATATTTTCATGTAACCTTGGAGATGTGAAATGTTTAAAGCATATTTTAATGTAACCTATTCCACAGACTATAGGTAGTCATTCTGGTGAAATTTTTGTAAAAATTAATATCACAGAATTAGATTTGAAGATAAATTAACAATTTTAAAAAATGTTCCTCAGGGTAAAATGGTGTAGCTGTGTAACATGGCCAGCATGAGTGTGTCTGTATCCCACTGCTGGAGCTGAAGCGGAGTTCCCAGTCAGATGAACACGTCTCCCCCTAAGCTGTGATATTGGAGTGGTAACAGTCACAATGGGCTAGCAGCATCTTTGCTATATTTGTATCAGCTGATGTAAAACAAATAATTCAATGTAAAGCGAAGTTTGATGACCATTCTAAATGCATCAAGTTTTGCAAGCTTCGGTGCGACTTGGTGCCAGATGGCTGTATTAAGTCTGTATATGTTGGTTATGAGTCCTGATTGTTTCTGTATGTGAGTGTGTGATGATCCAGCCAGCAGTCAGTCCCGCCCACCACAGGCTCATACACAGTCTACTAGGGTCGCCATTCTCAGAAACATCACCATCTTCAAACTGATGCATCACAGCTTGTACACGATACTTTTTTAGTTCTGTGCCAGTTCCTGTGTTGGTTCTTTATCCCTTTCAAAAAGTAAAATTAACTATATTTTATTATTTTGTAAACACAGCCTGATTACAACATGGCCTTGCATTTTGTACAATACCACAAAACTAAATCATAAAATCATCATATGCCTTAATTGACCGGTCCTACGAATGTAACAGGATTGGTTGACCGCTGCAAATTCTTGTTAGCTCAGCTTAATGGAACAGGAAGAATTTCAAACGGAATTGGCACAGTTTTCTACCGTGAAAAATTAGGACTCAGTAGTAGTGATGTGTGTCTGTACAAGAGGTTAGCATAACCTGACAGCACCATTACACTCATCAGAGGAAGGGACAGTTGTCCACAGTGTTCACTAGTAGTAACACTGCATACTTTCTCTATTGTACAATACTTAAATAATCATTCATGTGAAAAAAGTAGACACACTTGAGAGTGACAGATGCATAACAACGTTTCTCTTTGACATTTACTGAGCATGCTGTATGTTTCTTCAGGAACAATATATTTTTTAAGTTGGTATCAGTCTTTTGACTTTCGGTTCCAAGAGATGGTGTTTCGTGGTAGACCGTTACCATGGTTACGGTAGTAGTGCCTGTGGTGGCGGCGGGAAGAATGTTGGCCAGGGCATATCGTGAGGGTATGCATGTACGAAGGTATGTCCTTACTTTGAGCTTTCCTTACACATCCGTTACTACAGGGATATCAAAACATGTCGGATGATTCCACGTAGCAACAGATCATTCACATAGTCTGCAGTTTAGCTCAAAATGTGATACTTTGTTTTCATTATAGGTGAAACGCTTTTGTTACAGGTGAAAAAAAGGAAATTGTTTTAAAAAAGAAGTAAATGATTATTTTAACATCAGTGATTTTCTGATTTTTTTGGGTCATAGAACAGGGATGTATTAAGATTTTTCAACCTGAGTCCCAGGTGATCCTTCTAAGTAATGTAGAGTACCTAGGCCTATGTCTGTCTGTGTGAAGACGAGTTGTTTGCTATGTGCTATCTGGACAGGGTACAACTGTTTTGATGTCCTGGTATGGCGGAGTCTACTGTACAACCATTCCTTCATCACTAAGCTATGCAACTCTGTGCAGTATTGGGTAGCCTTTGACACTTTCCTCTCGTAAATAGTATGTACAAGATGATTTTTCTTGTCCTCCTTGACATTAGACTCATGTTGTGCCTCAGGTTCCTGGCGTTGGCTTGACTGATCTACACAGCTGCCATGTATTAGATTATGCGGAGATACACATTTACAGACTTGTTTCAGCCTGACCAAGTTTATTTTCCTCTTTAACCTTTATGTTAAAGACACTGATTTGTTTACTTTAAAACCCAATCACACACCACATGCTCATATACACACTGCAGGCTCCGTCACAGACCAATGGCTCCATCACACAGGCTCATACACACACTGCAGGCTCCGTCACAGATCAAGGGCTCCTTCACGCAGGCTCATACACACACTGCAGGCTCCGTCGCACAGGCTCATACACACACTGCAGGCTCCGTCACAGATCAAGGGCTCCTTCACACACTGCAGGCTCCATCACAGATCAAGGGCTCCATCACACAGGCTCATACACACACTGCAGGCTCTGTCACAGATCAAGGGCTCCATCACACAGGCTCATACACACACTGCAGGCTCCGTCACAGATCAAGGGCTCCTTCACACAGGCTCATACACACACTGCAGGCTCCATCACAGATCAAGGGCTCCTTCACACAGGCTCCTACACACACTGCAGGCTCCATCACAGATCAAGGGCTCCTTCACACAGGCTCCTACACACACACTGCAGGCTCCGTCACAGATCAAGGGCTCCTTCACACAGGCTCCTTCACACTACAGACCCCATCACAGATTAAAGGCTTCTTCACACACTACAGGCTCCATCACAGATTAAGGGCTTCTTCACACACTACAGGCCCCATCACAGATTAAGGGCTCCTTCACACACTGAAGATCCCAGATGAAAAGAAAACAGTTAACAGCTGTAAATGAAGCTGTAAATGTGTGTCTCTTGTCAGCTGATTAAGGACAACATGTCTCGATAGGACTGTATACGCGTTTCTCGTTCCGTCTAATCTTTAATAATTGGTAAATTTGCTTTCCAATCATAACAATATGCATCATATCATTTGATTAGACCACAGCACAACATGAACACTCAGACTACCAAGTCAGGAGAAAACATGAGAAATACTTGAACATACAAAAGTCATTGTCATTTTATAACTCTTCATCATAAACGTGGTAGGTGTGACAAGTACCACATCTCATTGCTAGACAAATCCGTACTATATTTATGAAATACGGCTATTATGTATGACTATTTATGTCTATAGCAAGCTGCAGTACACGATAGACGGGTGCCGCCTTCATTAGTCAACATTATTTACAATCAACTAGACAAGGGTCCTTAACATTATCTTACTTGTCTTGGACATGACTGAACCCTGTTCCACAAAGCGATCGTAATGCTAAGATGAAGGTAACTCCCACATTTGAACGTAGACATATGATAATCATGGAAATATGATCCTTTTGTAGAACACACATGCTGTTACATGCGATCTAAATCCAAAGATGACCCTGATTTCCATACTTTAACATGGACTGAGGGACCGTTCATACTTCACGGCTAGAGGGGGTGGTGATGATTTGTATGGAGAAGCATGTACAATGTGAATGACACCCCCACCACCCCTTAAATTTATGTACAAAGTAAGTTACTCCCCCTGCATGCCATGTACAAAATCAATGACCCCCCTCCCATAAGCATACTTTTAAACATATTTTTATGTACAAAATTGCTGACACACACACCCAAAGTGCGTGTGTACAAAAAATGCTGACCCCCCTTAAAATCATCATCATAGCCATAAATTATGAACGGTCCCTTACAGCAGCTGTAGCACTAAGATTACTTTGGTACAAGGCTCTGGGCCTGTTCAATAAAGCGATCTGAACGCTAAGATGGTCATAGCTTTCATACCTTGGCATGGACTTGCGGCAGCCGTAACATTGAGGTCACTTTGTGGAACCAGTGGGGCTCTAGTCAGAATGGATGCTAACTGACAACACTAGCATGTTCCATGGAAAGTTAGGCAGTTGCCGTGTTATATATGGTAAAATGTTAGGAAAGAAGAAATGCCATATACTTTCCTTGAATATTTCTGGCAATTGCATCTTTGTGTGAATAACAGGCTTTTCAGATGCCACCTTATAGTTGCATCTCTTCCAAACACATGTCCTCACAAGTTTCCAGTTTAATTCATTATAATATAAAACGTCATTGGCAGAGAACAATCAGTCTCGATCATCTCCTGAAACAGATACCACTGGATACAAAAGACAAACTTAAATGAATGAAGTATGAAATATTTTACAAATTAATATTTACTTCATTTTGAATCATTTTGTTTTAGGCATCTTCCTTGAGAACATGTATTTCAAAATTAAATGTTTCACATACTGGACATGTGATCAGGGCTGGCATGTAGCACAGATAGGCCCCAAATATGGATAATTCTGATTATAGTTGCCTGCTTCTGTTGGCTTGGTAACATATCTGGGATAAGAACTAAGCTGGTTTACATACTGTGAGTATGTATTCTGACATTATTAGGCTACAACATAGACTCCAACACTCCAAGTAAGGACAACTGATTTCTCACCCTTGTGCAATATGCCACTGTACATAATTATGGAGAAATAAATCTTTTAATACTATGTTTGTTTTTACTGCTTTTCATTTCCTGTGTTATTGAATATGCCTTTGGTTTGTTTGTTGTTGGACGCAATATTCCAGCTATATGGTGGCGGTCTGTAAATAATAGAGTTTGGACCAGACAATCCAGTGATCAATAGCATGAGTATTAATCTGCGTAATTGGGATGTAATGACATGTGTCAACCAAGTTGGCAAGCATGGCCATCGGATCCTGTCAGTCACCTCTTACGACAACCATGGGTTGCTGAAGACGCTTTTAGCAATATCAGAGATGCCAACCCTAATTCTAGCCCAATTATAATGTATTTTGGTCAAAAACTGAGGCAAATTTTAGTATTTTTTGGCCAAAATTAGTATTGACCTTTCCAAAGAATTTTCATGTTTAGTAAATTTATTGTGTATGGTACATATGCTATTGTATAATTTAATTTCATGTATTCTTTTTAAAATTTTGTATATTTTTACTGCTATCGTAGTCGCATATTTTGTGTTGTCTTTTCGTTATGAATACGATAAAATCGTCTCAGTTGGCATCTCTGCAGTATCACGGCAGGGGACACCAGAAATGGGCTTCAAACATTGTACCCATGTGGGGAGTCCTGGGTCTTCAACGTGACAAGCAAACGCTTTAACCATTAAGGTACCCAAGCCCTGTCACATGAAAGGTCCAGGTTTGATTCCTCCTATGGGTAGAATGTTTGAATCCAGTTTATGGTATTCTTTGCTGTGACATGGCTAAAAGCAATGTGAAACCATACACACTTTCCTCTGAAAGATAATGGGGACCGCCTCCATGGTGTAGTGGTTAGAGCATCTGTCCGGAGAGCGGAATGTCACAGGTTTGACCACTAGCCGCATCACATCAAAAAGATGGTAAAATATGGTACTTGTTGGTCCCTCCTGGCGTTCGGCATTAATTGGTACAAGGACTGGTTGGCTTGGAGTCGGTGTAATGTGTCTGAGTGGGGTATTCATGCTTAACTGTGGCATGGTATCTCAGTGAGCTAGCACTATAAAATCAGCTTAAGTCTGGGCTAGCACAAGCAGCCACACATACACAGGCATGCATGTCGTCATATGAGCGAAATATTCTCAAGTACGACGTTAAACCCCATTTCACTTCACCTCACCTGAAAGATAATGGAGATTCTGGGTCATCTCAGTGGAGATTCAAACCCCTTGTTTGTTGCAACAGCAAATTAAACTGACAAATTGGTGGTCACATGCACAATATACAATATGTGATGAAGACCACAGGTCCCATGTGCTTCGTTGTGGGGCAGGACAGAAGTCCTAGAAACTCCCTGGAGTCGAGCTGTCAAGCACGGTCACCCAGCCAAGGATTCTCTGTGACCAACATTGCTTAACCTCAACTGCTTTGTGACCTGGGCTCTATACACAGGACCAGACTCCACAATGACATTCTATAGTGTAATAATGTAACCCTAGAGCCACTTGTCAATTTAGCCCCAATCAGAAAACAGCAGTCTATGTATTGGTATGGTCTAATTTGTCGTCAGTTTAGGGAAACATAAATGTGATTGGTTAACACTGACTGATTGAGTTTGGTTTTACGCCGCTTTTAGCAATATTCCAGCAACATCATGGCGGGGGACACCAGAGATTGGTTAACAAATAAAATACCACAGAATCACTTGCAATATATTTATTGTCATTTTTGCATTTCTTTTATTTGGACAGACTATCAACTAGACTTTCCTGACATACAAGTGTTTGTTATTGTGGTAAAAAGCTGATAAACATACAGTTTTCAATGCAGTTTGGGTTCTGTGTTAAGTGTAGCTTGCTTACTTATACAGATAACCTGGCTCAACATTAAAATCATCATGTTTACCTCCAAACAATCTCTGATCGTCAAATGATAACACACTTGATAAAATATGTACATACACTTTTCATGTATAATCATGTACTAAAACCAATTCTGAATTATATATATATCACACACAGCACCATATCACAGACTTTTACATCCTCACTCAGGGAAATGTGCACACTGTTTTCCTCTGCTTCAGACTGCTTTTTTGTATATATCTAGAGTATAATCTTTTACCTTCCAGCCACCACTACACAGTGCCAATCACCAAGACTAAAGGAGCTCGAACATCTTTTTATACTTCAAAGTATTGCAATTTTAAACAAATGTTTAATGTCCAGTTATCATCTTATTCATTTAATTACTTTTACGCATGTGTTTATCTCTTTTTATGTTCAAGTGATTTCATACTTATGTTGTTATTTATTTGTATATTTTTTAAGCTCTGTGATCCAAAACAAATTCCTTGTAAGGTAATAAAGTATTGTCTATGCCTATGTCCACTACAATCCTCCATAGCCCTTGAACACATATGGCCACAATGCTGTGTATGGTGAAGCAAGTCTATGATACAGTGTAATCCCAAATATAACCTATGTTATATGTATGTTCATGTGATGGAAAGGAAACCGTTGTACATACAAAGCCCTAAAATTTTGACATTTATATTTAATTATTAAAATCTCCCTGAAGGAAGGCAGTGTGTAGTCAGCCTACAGGCATACTGGACAGATACAACTGAGGTAGATGCACCTTACATTTACCTAGATTGTCAAAACACACCCCTCACTGACACTGATCTATCTTCAGTTGCGTTGTACATTACTGATGTTTTATTCTGGCTGTTCTCAACAAACAACCCCAATCAACTTAAATGTCTTACTTACTGGACAAGAATTATTATTAACATTCACACATTTCAAAGTTTTCACACATTCATTGTTAATACCAGTTGCAAATAAGACTCATCTTCCGAAAATGTTCACATATGTGAAAACAAGAGCCCAAAATGAAAAAAGATGCAAAGTAAAAATATAATTTTAATTATTACCTGTGTAGTCCTTTAAAAACAGCTGGGCTTATCAAGTTTATTTGAACTAAAACATAAACAGCTTCTGCTATCATGGCCAAGGCCTTTGAGCCTAATTAGCTTATCATATGCCTCATGAAATTAAAAATCTGTGAATAACAGCCCAAAATATCTGCATGTTGACTTCACACCATAAACAACAGTTCTACTGTACTGTGACACCAAGACACAAACATCTCTACCAACCCGTATTTCATCAAGTGTTCAAAAGATTTCTAGTAATCACAAATAAGTGGTCTGAAACTAAACAGTGGTACAACCAAACATCAGAGTGGTACAGCGACACACAATACCCAATGACCCAACACTGACCGAACAGTTATACTGTTGAAAACAGTTATAGAAAGATCAGCCGATGTAAATTTCTCCACTCTATTTCTCAATTGTGTTTAGCCCAAACTGAGTGAGTGAGTATAGTTTTATGCTGCTTTTAGCAATATTCCAGCAATATCACGGTGGGGGACACCAGAAATGGGCTTCTAGCCCAAACTGAACATGCTACGGTATTAAATTACTTTGCCAATAACTTAGTTAAAACTGGTTCTAAGTTTCCTTTATAAGGCTCATATTAAATTACCAGCAGTCTTGGTTGTAACTCGGTCTAAGTAAACTTAGGCTCAGTATTATTCGTTACACTGCTAAACTGAGTCTAACAAACCCTGGTAGAAGGACGCGTCAGCTAACCTTTAAGCGACCTATGACCGTCCATTCAAACTCAAGACGGTCGAACGGATTTAACCAATCAGACAACGACTACTAGAACTTGTTAGAGTTCGGCAGGACTTACAAAATGTTTTTTGGGATTTTCCCTTCCCTGGTCGCTGACACTAATCTATCAACAAACGAAAATCCGCATGAAACAGATATTTGACCTGCAATATATACGCTTAGGGGTTTCTAATGACATGGTTACTGTTAGCTTATATTTCCGCAAGATGACATCCTTGAAATATTGAAATATTGACAAAAATGCTATTTTCAGCGATTGTTTACTTATTGCGTCCTCAATGTGTATCACTCAGAGTGATCGTGCGGAAAATAACATTCAGAATCGTCCAAGTTTTTTAGGTAAAGGTTCAAACGGTACGTGCGAGTGTGAACTTTCGCGATTTGGTAAGCTGTGCTCTGATTGGTCAGTCCAAAAGGTTAGCTGACGCGACCTTCCACTAGGGTGTGTTAGACTCAGTATGGCAGTGTAACGAATAATATCGAGCCTAAGTTTACTTAGACTGGGTTGTAACTGAAACCTCCATATTTACACATTGAATGCCCAGATTAATATAAAACATCTCTGAACTCATTTTATGCATCATAACATTACATCATTTATAAAATGCTTCTTGTTTATCCCAGTTTGAATTTCTTTGAGTGGCATTGTTTAGAAGTTGGAGAGTAATCTACAGACAAACTTTCAGGATGAACAACTTCTTCATTCGGTAGATGCGACGTTTCGATACAGATTCTTGTATCGTCAAGATACAAGAATCTGTATTGAAACATCGCATCTACCGAAGTTGTTTATCCATAAAGTTTGTCTGTATACCAGTTTGAACTGTTTTCCGGTTTGTGACTATACAAGTGTAAATAACTTAATTGTTGCCTTTGAGGATTATTTACACACTATGCATGTTTAATGAACTGTTAACATTCAGAAAATCAGATGTCAGACAGGGCTCCAGATAATTTTTCAACATCAGGAGTACGTACTCCTTATTTTTTCAATATAGGAGTACAGGAAAAACATAAGAGTACATTCAGAGTACTGAATTGAACTTAATGGCAGATCAGTAATCTTGTGCTTCGTTTCATATATGCACCACAACATTGCTACTCTTGTGTCAACAGGTCGATATACAATAAAACAATACCTTTTCAGATAAGTATGTCTGTATATGATTCTAAGACCGTACACCATTGCAGTGGTGCGTAACTGCTACGTTTTCTAAATTATTTCCTACTGTATCGTGCATATTTTTTATCCGTACATATGCCGATACGGCCCTTATCTGGAGCCCTGTTAGATATCATCACCCTTCAGTCCCACACAGCTCTGGGTGCTTAGTAGTAGGACAGGATACATGTGAAATTCTGGCCACCTTGAGGTTCTGAAAAGTCAAAAATCCAACTGGATACTTTAATTCTCCTTGATCTTGTTTGATTAACTAGTATTACATATAACAAACTTGTTTTGATTGGTTACATGTTAGCAACTTACAAGCTGTGTTTCTTAACCTACTTTGACTACCCATGTTAAACATGGGTACAAAAAATGAACTAACAATTTTAAGCTAGTGAAACTAAAAGCTGGCTAATAACTTTTAAAGCTAACTAGCCCATCTGGCCAGCAATATCTTGAGACTGGACCAGATAATCTAAACCTCACATCTGGATTGGAATTAAGTATCCAAGGGTATTGCCAGATCTTCTCAATGGGCAACACTGATCCCCAAACTGCAGCAACTGTCCTTGTGTCCGTGAGGTCTACAATATTAGAATGTAGGGATCCATAAATATTTAACTCTGAACAATAGAGTTATGGCATGGGCATTTTGAACACTGCATTGCATATGTCATCTTCCCCACAGTAAAATATGTTGGGATCAGCAACATGTCACGATCTCTGATTCTCGTCCCACAATACTACATTAAATACAATTTGTTAATCTTTCTTCCTATCCTTTGGTGATACAGTCATTTGTCCTTGATCAAACACCTGTACAGCTAAATATCCTGCTACAGAAAATAGGATTAGAAACAAAACAGCCGTGTTCCTCATCATCATCAGACTGTGCTCTTCCCTTTCTTTCTTTATGAATTCATTCATTTGCATATCTTCCTGTTTCTTCCTTCTCACATTACCATAATGCTGCTTGTAGAACTCATCAAAGTTATACACATTTGTCCGTCCAGTGGGAGCTTGTCTTTTCTTCGACACAAAGCCTTCTTGGTCATGAAAGCTGTCATCCCCTCCTTTGTGTGTGAGTGGACTCAGTACTCCTCTGTCATACATGCGCCTGTTTCTCACATTACCCAACACCTCGTATGCTTCTGATATTTCAGCAAATATTACATGTGCTTCTGGGCTTTTATTGATATCTGGGTGGTTGATTTTTGACAATTCATAATATGCAGCTTTGATCTGGCTCTGAGTTGCATTTGGTGAAACTTTCAAGACATTGTAGTAATGTGTCCTGGATCTTGGCCTCTGGGGATGTGTTGAGTAATGCCCTTTCGTTAGGTTTAGACACACACGTACAAATTAAACATTTTTCGGTAATTCTTAGGTAATTGGGACGAGGAAAACATTGATATTGAGTGTATGTGCATTTTCCGTAGTCTACGCATAGGTAGTGATGGTGACCGAAGTTCAAGATTTGGTTTCCCAAATGATGAATATTGTGCACAGGGATAAAGTTGTGACTCTGTAGAGACTCTTGACTTGCACCTTGATAGACAACCTCTGAACTGTGCATAGTTTCGTGCTGCCTTGGTAGCCATTTCACGTAATATTGAATCTGTAGCCTGCTTATTCAGATAATATTAACGATGGTGCTGTCACTTCTATTACGTAGATAGTCTCTTTCGATGTTTTACAAATGCTGTGCAACACTTTCAAACTTTTCACCATTTTGGAGCTAACCAGCACAATTACCGTCCAGGTTACCAGACCATTTCAACTGACCTTCGTTGATAAGTTACGTTGAAGGTCCATGCAATTTCAGGTCGGTTGTGTAAACCGCAAAGAGTTGCGTCCCATTTAAAGGTATGTCAAATTTGCTACGCGGAATACTTTTACGAAAATATGTTGATAATTTTTCAAAACATGGCAGATAATAGTGAGCTAATAGATGTGACAACAAGGCAGAATGTATGGCCCGTTATTTTTGTTGGTAATACTATTAAAATATTGGAGTGAACGTTTAATGCATCATTGTTGCTTATATTACGTTTTCCACTTCATTATTATTTACATTTTATAAATTCAAAATGGCGTCTTCAGGTAGACCCGAAAGGCAAGCGCCTCCAGAAATCGTAAGTTTTCTCTCTTGACGCCGCTTGTTAAGTTAGATTAAGATGGGAAACAAGGCATTGTAATGTTACCACCCAGGTTAATGCTATTTCAATCTGTTTCAGTATTACAATGAAGACGAAGCCAAGAAATACACATCTAAGTGAGTAACCTGACCCACGTGGACCAGTGTTCGTCCTGAGTGTAACTTATTCTTCTGACAGATTTATTTCGTTATGTTGTCAAATGTCATAGCTAACGGATTAAGAATTCTGTACATATTTTAGATCCACATAAATTTGGCTGAAGGGGTTGTCGGCACAGGTACTACAGTTGGTAGGGTGGGTATTGCCAAGAATTTCATACCCTGCGAGGGTATTGCGATGCGAAATATATATTGCGATATTCTTTTAACAAAAAACTACTTATAATCGAGTTAATGCTTGATTTATAAAGCAAAAACACAACAAAATCACTATGCTGGATTAGGCTTTAATAAAAACTTTTAATCATGACAAAATATAAATGTAAATAATGTTTGGCACAAATGAAACAAGGAAAGGAACAATTTAAAAAACGGAAATATCCAATGATTTCCAACTGTTAAGAAGTTTTCCGAATGCATGTCAAAATACCGTTTTTGATCAGCGTATCGCAATACGTATCGTTTTCATGCCTGAACCGGTAAACCAGTTATATTGCGCAGTCCTAACAGTTTGGGAACGTTCATAATTTACAGCTGGGCGGGTGATGATGATTTTAAGGAGGGGGGTCACCCATTTTGTTCCCGGGGTGGGGGTGGGTGTTCCATCAATTTTAAACACACATACTGGGGGTCAGCAATTTTGTACATAAAGGTATGTTTAAAATTATGTTTAGAAATTATGGGAAGGGGAAGGGGGTGGTAATTGATTTTGTACATTGCATGCAGTGGGGGTCACCTTTTTTGTACATAAATTTTAAGGGGGGGGGGGAATTCACATTGTACATGCTTCTCCATAAAAATCATCATCACCCCCCCAGCCATAAATTATGAACGGTCCCTTTTGTAAACAAAGTCAAAATACAGAAACTCATAACTTTGTGAATTGAGTGATCCACTTATTGATTCTGCAGCATTACCATGATGAAGTGCGATAAGAATAAGACATGTATCTGAGTTGAAAACCTCAGAAGGTATCTTGACACACTGATACAATCATGTTCACATTTACACTGTGTTTAATATGTGTGATCTTTCTTAGTAGTATTTATGTTTTCTTCAGTTCTCGAATCATTGAGATTCAGCAGCAGCTGTCAGAAAGAGCCATTGAGTTGTTGGCACTACCTGATGACAAACCATGCTTCATACTGGATATTGGGTAAGAGCCTGGCAATGGTAACAATTAGGAATAATGGATTATTGTTTTATTATGATTGATGGTATACATACATAAATCAGCTAATCTAAAAGATCATCTTTTCCCCAAATAAAAAAATGCTAATATAACACATGTGATAAAGCTAATGGAGTCAGTACATGTTAATATGTGTATATTGTGGACACCATCAACTTTTAATCTTAACGTTTTTCACAGTAACTGTAAGCACAAGTTAGAAAAAGTTCATGTGTTTCAGATGTGGTTCAGGGCTGAGTGGAGAATGCTTAACAGATCAGGGACATGTGTGGATTGGAGTCGACATCAGTGAACACATGCTTGGTAAGATGGGGATATCAGTGAACATATCCTTGGTAAGCTGGCAGTAGGACATCAGTGAGCATGTGCTTCGTAACAACAGAACATTCAGCTGTTTCATCTATATGTTTCTTGCCAGGTAATGGCTTGAAAACTATGCATTAAATCAAAATAAACTATCACCCAGCATCTGTAAACTTTAAATCTCACTATTTTGCAGGAATTGCCCGTGAGCGTGAAGTGGAAGGCGATCTGCTGCATGGAGACATGGGGTATGGGATGCCCTTCCGACCTGGCACGTTCGACGGAGTTATCAGGTGGGCTCCTCAATCAAGAGTTGACAGAAGATTTTGAACAAATTTCATGTCAGTCTTAAATTCCCATGGAAATATCATTGTACAGTTTATGTTCAGTTTTAAAGCAGGTACAAAATCATAAGGAAATATTTGTCTTTATTGATGCTGAGTATGTAGGAGAGTTTTTCTGTTTGCAGTATTTCTGCCCTGCAGTGGCTGTGCAATGCTGACAAGAAGTATCACCATCCACCCAAACGACTGAGCAAGTTTTTCACCACACTGTATGCATCAATGGTGAGCAATTTATATGGTTGGAAACTGTGAGTATATCTCCAAAATTTGTGTACACCTAATAGTTTTAACTGAGCCTCCTTGTTATGACAACCACCTCCGTGGTGTAGTAGTTAGAGCGTCCGCCCGGAGAGCGGAAGGTCGCGTGTTCGATCCCCGACCGCGTCATACCAAAAGACGTTAAAATATGGTACTTGTTGGTCCCTGCCTGGCGCTCGGCATTAATGGGTACAACAAGGACTGGTCGGCTCGGAGTCAGTATAATGTGTCTGAGTGGGGTATTCATGCTTCACTGCGGCATGGTATCTCAGTGGGCTAGCAGTATAAAACCAGCTTAAGTCTGGGTTAGTATCAGTCCCAACATGCATGTCGCCATATGAGCAAAATATTCTCTGACGATAAACCCAATTTCACCTCACCTCACCTCACCTTGTTATGACTTTACCAACATGATCAAGGGTATTTGGCAATGAGTTACCTTCAGTGTTTACAAGTCATGGTTCATAAGTGGTCAAGGAAGTGGTGTTGGATTACTGGCTGTATGACCTCCAGTAATGGCTGTATGTTTGTTCCAGAGTCGCGGAGCACGAGCTGTGTTTCAGTTGTACCCAGAAAACAGTCAACAGGTTAGTATCAGTCCCAACATCAGAGTGATACCTGGCTCCAGAATCATCATTCTGTTGAGACCTGTGAAGATCTGGGTTGGTTGATGCACTGATTTGGTTGCGTGAATTGGGACTAACGGATCGGGTAGTCAGGCTCACTGATTTGGTTGACACGATGGTTTGTGTAGATCGATGCTCAGGATGTTGATCACTGGATTGTCTGGTCCAGACTCAATTGTTTACAGACTGACTTCATATAGCTGGAATATTGCTGAGTGTGGCATTAAACAACAAACAAACAACACTCTCTTGAGCTTTTGCACACTGTTAACATTGTGTACCTTTATCACAGTGATCATCTGTTGTGTTGCCATGTTGATCTGGCTTGAGACATGCGCTAAGGATGAATATTACCAAAAATTCAATTGAAGGTGGCTTCTTGCAGGTTCTTGTCCCTGTTCTGTTGAATCCTCCTTGGGAATTTGTGGCAAGGTCCCCAGCAACCTATGGTGTTTATGTAGTGTCAATGAATTATGCTCATAATTTCAATCATTGTGTGACTGGTGACCATCATGTAGCAAGAATGTACAGCATTCAGCAATAAACTAAACAAAGCATATACCTGGGTTCACTATGTAAATTAGTTTTCTAAAGGTAATTTTCAAAACTGAAGTTAGTAATTGGGTATATTGTATTTACACCCTGGTTGTCTTGATCATTTCTGTTGATCATATCTCTTTTTTCTGTCAAACAGCTCGAGCTCATCACACAGCAGGCAATGAAGTCAGGTTTCACGGGTGGCCTTGTCGTCGACTTCCCAAACAGCACCAAAGCTAAAAAGTGGGTGAAAGTGTCGCAGTCATAAACATTCTAAGCATGACAGAAAATCCTGAACTTGTATTGTATGTAGCTGATGTGTCATCATGTTAAATGCCTTGGGTATCTTTTGCATGAGTGTGTGCCATCTCATTTGTTACCATAGTTACATTCCATGGATTTATTTGCTTTGGGGTTTCTCAAAAGTTCTCAAATAATAGTTCAGATATTTCCCTTCCAGACAGAGTTAATCATAGGCTCACTCACACTCAGCACTAGCTACAGTTAATGTTACTGTCAGATTGTATTTTAAACTGAACTTAAACCCTGTGTTTAAAATGCTTTACCATGTCTTTACCACACTGTTACTGACAAATCTGCGACTCTCCTGCAGGCTGTTCCTGTGCCTGTTTGCAGGGGGCGTGGCACAGCAGCTGCCCCAGGGACTCGGGACACAGGAGGGGGCACATAACCACATTGCCAACTCGGACAAAAGGTAGGTTAGAAGCAACTAGATGACTGGCACAGTACAGTAGTTGTTCATTCAGGGCAGCAATAGTTGCTGGTGGGATTTGGGGGATTTTGATGGTGTTGCTAACTAAATGTGAATTTACTTACCCTTTTGTGATTTTCTGTCAGAATTAATTAGCTAATGGAAATAACAATTGGGACTCATAGTTTAACAGAAAGAAGGAACATTCTTTATTATATACCAAGCTTTCATCATATGCTTATGTTGGAGTCTCCTAATAGCTTTAAAACCGTTTTCTTTAAAAACTGGATTATTTTGGATGGGTTTGCTTTTCTAAGTGTAATTTTGCAAAGTTGTTACTTCAACCATTCCTTTGTTGCTAGGGAACGCATGCGTGGAATCCGAGGGAAGTCGGTGAAGAAAAGCCGGGACTGGATCATGGAGAAGAAAGAGAGACGGCGGAGGCAGGGGAGGTAAGTCTCACTCCACTTGGATAGGCTTTAATAGGGGAGGTAAGTCTCACTCCACATGGATATTCATTGACAGGGTGTAAGTGGTTTGGTGCAGTGGTGTGGCCATGGAAATTTTTGGGATGAAAGAGTAAGATCTATTCCGTTCATGATATGTTCCTCTAATGAAAATCTGCGGAAGTAATGACTACTTGGATGAAAATGGTTTTACCCCTGCAGCTATTCCTGGTTTTGTTGTCGGCATAAGTCACCAGATTAACAATCAGGGGGATATTACAAATTTATTTGGTGGGTTTAACAACCAGATTATGGAAGAATCTAATATGATCCTCCTTCATAACTGCTTGTGAGGTGAGGTGAGGTGAAATTGGGTTTAACGTCGTACTTGAGAATATTTCGCTCATATGACGAGCTTGTGAGGTGGTTCTTCACACACGACATGCAGGCTGAAATCTTGTTTTTCCTGACAACAGCACATTGGGTATGTCCACAAAATTAATATGATTTAACAGTCTATCTTTATTCATATGTATATTTGTGTTTACGTAAATGCCGATGTATATCTGTACAGCTAATCATTACTTGTATTGTTTCAGAGATGTACGTCCAGACACAAAGTACACAGGGCGACAGCGGAAACCCAAATTCTGATGAATGTTGTTTGTTGTAAATAAAGTATATATGTACAGTGGCTATGAAACAGTTGTTGTTGTATTTGCTAATCATCCAGTTAGACAAGGTTCCCTGAAATTGACTATAGGTTATATACAGTGATTGTATTTCATGTCTTGGGTACTTCGGAGAGTGATACATTTTGTCAGATTTTTGTGTGTGTATCTCTTGGTGAGCTTGGGCATGAAATGACTTTAATGTTTGATTGTTTTAAAATACAATTAAAGGCTCCAGTTCAGAGGGAGTTTTCAGTGAGTCACATGTAGTGTTCAATAATTGGTCAATAACAGTGTCACATTCAAGTGTGGGTCACATCGAAGACCCGGGTTCGAATCCCCACATGGGTACAATGTGTGAAGCCCATTTCTGGTGTCCCCCGTCGTGATGTTGCTGGAATATTGCTAAAAGCAGCGTAAAACCAAACTCAGTCAGTCAGTCTTCCAAAAACTGCATCAAAATACTTATGGGTTATATTATTGGTAGGTGAGATCTGAGAGAAAGTATATTCACAGCTGATTGCTATTTCTGGCTTAGTTTAGTATACAAATACACTCGGTAATCTTTGCATATAGGCCGATTGTAATATATTTACATAATGGTTAAACCATAGCAATAAATTCATGGCATTTTATCAAACCTGAAGCAGTTTGCAACTTTAGATCCCCAACAACCTCTTTTTTGTGGTTGAGATGACTTGGTAGATTGCATATCATCCACTCCCCGTAGTGTGGATTGATGCTCACAATATCAGTCACTGGTTTGCTCCGTCCAAACTGAAAATATTGTTTACAGGCCACTGTCATTCTACTGAGATTGGCATAAAACACCAAACTATTCCAGTTATAACATAGCAAGATAATTTGGAAGGAAAGCCTGACATGAATTTCCACAAGCACCGGTAGAGTGCTGATGAACGAAGGACCAGGATTTGAACCCATTCCCAGCAGGGTACAACCCCAAAACCCAAAGTGATACAAATTCATAATGCTTGCCACTTTGGTGAATCTCATAAGCGTAGTGCTGGCAATTGCTGTTTTGTTTTGTTTTGTTTTGTTTTGTCTTTTTTGTTTTGTTTTGGCTTTTTAAAAATTTTTTTGGAGGGGTGTGTGTTTTTAAATCAGAGCAAACAGGGATTTGAACCCACAATCATAGGTTCAACTATGCATCAGAGTGTGCCCTTGCGTGAAAAGTTGGTTGTTTAACACCACATTCAGCAATATGGCTGTGGTCTGTAAATAATCGAGTGGGGACCAAACAATCCAGTGATCAACAGCATGAGCATTAATCTACGCAAATGGGATACGATGACATGTGTCAACCAAGCCAGCGAGCCTGACCACCCAATCCTATTAGTCGCCTCTTATGACTAGCATGGGTTACTGAAGACCAATCCTAACCCAGATCTTCACAGGTCTGCATGAAAAGAAGTACTGTTGATCAAATAACAGTTGGAACTGGTGTTAGGATGCAGCACAACATGATGAAATACTTCTGACACAATAAAGAACTGCAGCACAACAGAGACACACATTATGAGGGAAGTAAAGTTTAATTTCTCAATATTTGTTGTCGTACAAACCCTACCAACTCTACGTAGATTAGGAAACTGGTGGTGTCACTACATCTATCACGACGATACACAAAGGTCACTACTGTGACACGTCCACAACTACGTGTAGTTGTGTTGCTACGGTGACCACCCTTGCTCGCTGGCGGCGATCTCAACTACACGTACACTGCTGCTGCTAAGGGACACAAATTGGATTAAATTAAAACTCCAATACATGTTATATGGCATATTGAGGCCCTCACAAACAACTGCTGTGAGAATGTGGAAACTTACAAATATTTACGAAAAAGGATTTTTTTTGTCAATGAATGTCGTTATTCATACATTGGAATGCATATCACCGAAAAACTGAGAGAAAAATGAACGATGCATGAAAATGAAACCTTAGCTATCGCGATGGTATATTTGGCTGTCATACTAAAGCGACACTTAGAAAAGACACTATGTTGTCTATAAAAGAAACGGTTATGACATAGAGGATGAAAATATCAAAAGTGTAACCGTTAAAACACGAGAATTTAGTGACACATTGAATAAAGAAATAGACATTCCAAATGAAGTGATACTTTCATCACTACAAAATATCATTCATCTACCATGGTTCAAAAATATTTCACAAATTCTGAAGGAAACCTATATTTATCCAATATGGCAGCTGTTCGGGACAAATGTTATCAGACAACATTTCTGAGTTCCTAAAATATTAAATTTGAATGCACTGTTTTTCTTTTTAAAAGACATCAAACAAACAGATAGCATGGACAGTCCCATACATCCAATAAAAACATTTATGAGATAAAATAAAACGTTGAGCAAAATCTGGACACAGGTAAAACTAGTTTCAGGAAAATACTTTTTGTCCAACAGATGTTGAGGTCCAGCAAGAAGTACTTGTAAAGCCTTGCTTTATCTCAGCAAGATTCAATTGCAAGGTGAACATAGCAATTCTGAAGTTAAACATTGATACAGTGCAAGTTTGAAACTGATATGCCACGCCAGCTTAAACCAATGCCATACATCTTCACATCAGCGGCAGTTGAAAGCTTGTATCTACAAAGCGTAGAGTGCAACTGCTTGTGACCACACAGTGTAAACCTTAAAATCATAGAATATCAATAACTGATTCAATCAAATGAACAAATAGGTACCAATGTTAAACATTTCACTGAGCTGAATTATTGACACTAGAAAGTCCTGTACGTAATGTGTTTAAATGGACTCCGTGACTGTGACAAGCTCTTTCAATGTCGTCTAGTCGACGTTCCCTTCCAAACATTTAAAATACACGTAGTGACGTTGTTCGGGTCTTTCTTTGCATCAATCTATTACTTCATTTCTTATGTGCTTGTGGAAAAATTAAATATGATAAAGACATATTGTGGTGTTAAAATAACCACATTTATATTACTTTTCACCAGTCAGTCAATGAGTGAGTGAGTTGAGTTTAACGCCACTTTGGATGTTATTCCAGTTCAATCATGGCGTGTCAGCTTATTGTGAGAAGAAAGCCTGAAGCGATTCGGGTTGCACATGTTTACCGCTTTGGTGAAACCCACATGCAAGGCTATGGTGCTGACAAACCGACATAATTTTGGCAAATCTGGTTTTGAACCCATAATCAATGGTTTCTGGCATACCCAAGGGAGACAACTCCACAAGAATGTTGATGCAGGCCTCAGATTGTGAAACACATGCACAGCTACAGTGCTGACATACTTAGAAAACTAATAGGGGTAAACTTGGATTTGAACCACCAATCATAGGTTCCTGGTGTGTTCAAGGGATGCAACTCTGATGATATTAGCTGAATATGTTGTGAAATCTTCACAAAAAACAGAAACATATGTTGACAACATTTACATCTGAAATTATGTGTAGAATGGTATAGATATGGATCAGTGAGTTAGTTTGTAAACAATGATTAATCCCTTTCAATTATCTGATAACTTTTCTTTCAAGGGGTCGAAATTGGATTTCCGATATGGCTACCAAGGCAGCCATTACGAGACAACACCTAAATTTCTGAGGTTTCTGAAAAGACGAAGACCAGATATACAAAAGGGCAGCTGACCATTTGAACACTTGACCTGGCACCATCTTCAACATGATCAAGTACATTACATGAGAACCTTTCCCATAGGGTGACCATTATTCATGATATTGCATAGGAGCCTAATATACCTCATTTGTCCCGTGGAGATAACATGAAATATCACTATGGTTACCATACAAATGAATACTGTTTGCCTCACAACTGAACTTATCACAGTGACAAGCAGTATTAAACATATTTCCTTCACACTTGCATATTGTCAAACAAAATAATTTAGAATGGAATTTTTTGAAAAGAATTAAAACACAAGCCATAATGAGAATGTTAAAATCACTGATGGATAGTTGGGGGTCTGACGGACGATGTGTTTTTATGAGTTACTTGTCATGGAATCACAAAAATTACCCTTGACGTAACTAAAAAGGGGAATTCTGTGGATCTGCAGAAAATTCTCATCTCTACCACAAAAAGGAAAGTATTTCATAATTTTCATCTGTTGCAATTTCCCCAATAATACTCCTGATACAAATAAGACGTACAACACAGCCATGATTTGTAGTTTCATTCCAGCAAAATCTATACTGATAGTTACGGCAAATATCTAATAAATCTATGCCACACCTATCTGTCTAACTGAAATATGTCAAGATGTTAACATGTAAAGTTACATATCAAACAATGAAAGAATATGGCACAAAAACATTTATCAAATGAAAAGGTGAAACATGTTATTGTGATGAGGCAATGAAACAAATCAAATCGGGAAATGTAGTGATGCAGCTACAGATGAGTCCGAACATCTTCCACGGTCATGACACATGCATCTCAAGAATTATTTCTATGTGATATAATATTTATCACACTCATTAACATGTCATGCAGAAAAGCTAATCTACAATCTCCTTACAATTCAGATCTTTTACTTCCATACAATACCACTTTTTAAAACCCTGATGACTCCTCTAAAAATTCGGAAAATTTGATGTGTAAAATAAACTATACACAACACAAATATTCCTTCTTTGGTATTCGTTCAAGTGAGAGATTTTATGGTTCTCAGAAACGACAGGATGTGTAATATGTATAATATTTATATATGTATAATATGGCCATATTCATTGATATTCCGAACAGGTCAGTTTAGTTCGTTCTATGGGATGAAAACAGAACTCAAATGTCTGAATGCTTTGCACACTCATTCCTGAAATTTAGAAGTCTCAACACTGGCTGGCCCTACGTAATCGAAAACTGAGATGACATCAGAGCTACCGGCTGAGGTGTCGAATTATCGGAGTAAAAGATACAAGTTTTATGAGATTGTCTAATCTACAGAATATATTTTCTGACAGAGAAGGTGTCATTATTTCCTTGACAGTAATACTTGTTTGACTGTACTAGTAA